CTTTCCTTTTGATATATTATTATACTCCATACCTCCGGCAATAAATCGGCGGCATCATGTCAACCACGGAGCTGATTAACATCTCCGCCCACGGTCCCTTGAGTCCAAGTCATTTTTATGCCAGAGAACTAATCTGTGCTTCCCGCTTATGGCAGGATTTCACCGAACCCATAGAGTTCGCTATATGGATGGCATCCTCAGAAGTAGACCAAAAATTTCTTGGTCACTTTGCTACCCAAACCAGCGAAACAAACCCGTTCCTCTCGGGTATGCTATATAAGATTTTGGGGCTTTCCGTCATATTATCCAAGAAGCTGCTTCGGGCACGAAAACTGCGACGGCTGGATCCTACGAGGGAAACAAAGTCGTTTCAATTATACCATCATATCCTATGGCTTTCGAGGGAAGGACTGATAATAGTGGAGCAGTATGTGCATCCTATGGTAGCAGATTATGTGGAGCTGCGCGTTTTAGCATATAAGCTGCAAGCGTCGTTCTACCACATATTTGTGCTTTTCCATAATCAGCCGCGTGTCTACCATCGAGGTATCCAGGCTCTACCCGGCTCAGCATCATTTGTTGATATTGTCAATGCAACTGTTCCCTCTGGTGAACAAAAGGGGGGTAATTCGCAGGATCCATCATCAGTGCCTTCCCATCCAGCAGAAGGTGGCCCTGTTGGGGCTGGGAGCCACCTACAACCTCCAGGGCTGGAAGTACCAGTTCAGCCCAAGTTCGCAGCTTCTTTTATTCTTCCTGCCATAGACTACACCCCGCGAGCAACAGAATGTTTCACCTATGTGGCTGCACTGGCCGACCAGCTTCTACCAGGCTCCCATCCGATCCGTCTGTCAGTGAAGCTTGAGTATGCCGCATATCTATATGATTGTCTGAACGATTCGAAAGCATGCAGACGCCTGGCCAAACAAGCTATCGCAGATGTGTACAATGCCCAGGAGGGTATGGACGATGAAAGCTTCGAAGATGCAGCGGAATTAGTGAGTGTGCTAGGCAAGATGGTCAAGCGAGGAGGTAAAACTACCAGCAGTACAGGCGGAAGCAGCAATGGTGGAGCTGGAGCTGGAGATAAATCAGTCAGCGATGCAAGCCAGGGCACACCTCGCGAAGTTGCTGTTGCGGCTGCGGACGTCGGCGGTACGCCGAAGAGCAGCCATCAACAGCCAAAACAACAGCAGCCTTCAACCCCTCAACGACCAATCCCGGTTACCAGAGGAACGCCACCAAACATCCCAGCAGAAACAGGACTTGGCCTAGCAATTCCCTCTACCACCATGGCCAATCCAATATAACAACATGTATGTGTCTGGGTAAACGGTACCAAAGCCTCACTATTCTTGGAACCACAAAGCTGTGGAGATGATGTGGCAGTGGACCATTTGGCTGTTTCACTGTCAAATGCGATTTTCATCTCGTTTTCGTTCTGTTCCTTTATTTGTCTTGAGGAGGCGCCTCGCAAGTGGTTTTCTGATTTTAGGTGTTGTATGTATATGGGAGTTTGTTAAATATCTTTTTATCTTATAATTATCAAGATAGTCGTAGTGATAATCAAACCATGAAACGTATTTCACCATTCCAAGCGGTGTCCGGTGTAAGCATTATAGAAGCTTAGGGCATCATGTCGAGGTCCAAGCGCGTACAGTCAACGCATTTTTGATGCCCATATTAATTTTTGGTAAGGGTCGTAGCGTGGTTGTATAGACGATTTATAGAACGAGACACTTTCGCCAGGATTGATCAGATTCTGCCCAGTGCTACAGTCAATAATAGGAATAAATAGCGTGTCTAAATAATATTGGGATGAGAAAAGTGTAAAAAGGCAGTTAGTAGAAGTTGCAAGGGATATCATCTCTTCCTGGAATTCGGGGGTATAGAGGGTAGCAAAGGTGTTGGCAGATGTACCAAACAGAGTATACTTCCAGAGATACCGCGTGATCAAAGAAACAAACGCATCCAAGTACGGGATACTTCAGTGTAATAAGAGGTTCAGGGTCAAGGTTGAAGTCATCGCTCGTCAACCGTAAAGAGGCTGGAAAGGATATAATCGAGGCGAGATGATTTTCAGGCCAAACAGCTCTGTTCTAGAGTCTGAAACTCATTTTCACAGTCGATAACCTTCAGCATATGAAGGATACCATCTGCTTTGACCTTATATTATGGGGTATATGGATTTTTTTTTTTCTCTTTGCACTTTCAGCTAGGGAGATGTTGTTACAGCTTAGCGGCACCAACCTCGGGAGGAGTCAACCTTGCTGGCACGCTTACCTAACTAACTAGTTAGTTAATTTTCAGCCGCTGGGTCCAAATGAATCCACGTGATTCCTGCCTCGGCCCAGTCAAGCTTACCCCCAGCTTTGGCACAAGGCTCCACTCCTCCTCATCCCAAAGCTGACGAAGTTCGTCTTATTGATGACCATTTTGATATAAAGTACTAGTACGCTTTTTATTCCATTACTTTTGAACTCAACCAGAAATATTGGGAGAAGGATAAAACAACATGGGAACAAACTCACCAAATCCAGTTCCATTCTCCGAACCGCCATACCTCTGTGGTCTTCCCTCGCCATACTACACAGAAGCTCATCGTCAGTTCCAGAAGGCATGTCGAGCATTTATTTGGGAGCATTTGCATTCCCATGCCATGGAATGGGAGCGGGAGGGCACTGTTCCACCTCATGTGTTTGAAGTATTTGCCAAACACAACATGCTACTTCCAAACCTGCCTTCTCCCTTACCAGTTGCATGGTTGAAGAAGTTAAATATTCATGATATCTTGGGTGTCAAGGTTGAGGACTGGGATTTAATATACACTGGTATATATCTGGATGAGGTCAGTGGCTACACACTTGTGTGCTACACACCAACTTGTGTTGACTTTGATTAGATGTCAAGATGCGGGCTGAGTGGGCCCCCGAGTTCACTGACAGCTGGGTTTGCATTTGGAATCCCGCCCATGCTGGCATTTGGTAGCCGGGAACTACAAGAGAAATTTCTTCCCGATATGTTAACTGCCAAGGTCAGATCGTGTATTGCCATTACCGAACCGGACGCAGGTAGTGACGTTGCAAATATTACTACCACTGCAGAGAAGAGCGCAGATGGAAAGTACTATATTATTAATGGCGAGAAGAAATGGTATATCCTGGTCCCTGTTGTGCAATTCACTACAGTCCATTGAGGCGTAATTAGCTCACATACCTGATAGGATCACGAATGGAATCTGGTCAGACTACACAACCATGGCTGTACGTACTGGCAGACCAGGGCCAACAGGGCTATCTATGATAGTCGTACCTTTGAAGGGGTACCCAGGCGTAACGATGCGTCGACTCCCGGTCTCAGGTCAAGTCTGTGGGGGTACCACGTATATCGAGCTAGACAATGTCAAAGTGCCGGTTGAAAACCTCATCGGTCAAGAGGGACATGGTATGAGGTACATAATGACCAATTTCAACCATGAACGCCTAACAATTGCCGTTGGAGTCACTCGCCAGGCTCGAGTAGCTCTCAGCGCCGCGTTCGAATACTGTATGAAGCGCGAGGCCTTTGGTAAGACTCTGATGGACCAGCCTGTAGTGAGGCACAGGTTATCCAAGGCTGGTGCCGAACTAGAGTCCATGTGGGCTTGGGTAGAGCAGTTCTTATACCAAATGAGCCACATGCCAAAGGCCGAGGGAGATAGGAGACTGGGTGGCTTGACTGCTCTGGCTAAGGCCAAGGCTGGAATGGTCCTCAATGAGTGTGCTCAGGTGGCGGTTTTGCTCTTCGGGGGACTTGGATTCACAAAGTCTGGCCAGGGAGAATTAGTTGAGAGTAAGTAATTTTTCTGATTTGCCCGATTCTATTTCCCTGCTCCACTTGGTTAACTGGCGGTTTATTGATTGATCTAGAAATACTGCGTGATGTCCCTGGAGCTCGGATACCAGGAGGGTCGGAAGATGTTCTCCTTGATCTTGCCGTTCGGCAGCTTGTGAAGAATTTCAAGGCCGAAGGGAAGAAACTCGGCAAGACTGCTAATCTCTAGAGGGTATTATGTTTTGTTTGGATAGCTGATACTTCGACAACCGCGTACTGTAAAATGAGTACTGTAGCATCGATGATGTATGATTGTGGTGGTTGCTGAATAAATTGTCTGTTCTTGGTGTTGGCTTACAGCGGTCGTCCAGCTGAATAGCACGTTTCTAACGTAATCTCACTGGGTGGATTGAAACACAACGCTTGCTGGTGCTATTATCTTGTAGCTGGAAGAAGCTTGTCGTTAACGTCGTCAACAATGGTGATTGATTAGGTAAGGTTCCATCTTCGAAATCCACCAATAGGAGCTGGAACTAATTACCGGAAATTATATATCCCGTTCTGCTGTATGACTAAGCAAGCATAACGGGCGTTCCATGAAACCTTAATTTTGCAACAACGAAACTGACGCGAATCTCTCCATACGTTGTACTCAAATGGAAGGTAATTAGCAGATGAACGGATAATAATAGCAACTGACGGCTGGATGCAGGCCGTTCAATAGCCTCTTAATTTGTCACTGTTCAGAGATGAAACCCGAGATTTCGCCATCATCCTCCGAAGACCCAGCAGAGTCCGGGACGGTCGTGCCCAAGTCAGCTAGTAAAGCGCAGACCTGCGAATCTTGCCGCGCTGCGCATAGCAAATGTGACGGTCGAACACCCAGTAAGTCTTATTATTTTTCTATAGGTGGCTGCTTATAATAACATCATTCGGTAGTTTGCGGTTCGTGTGAGAAGAGAAACTCCAAGTGCAGCTTTTCTATAACGCCAGCTACGAGAGCCTCTCTTCCTGCCTTATCCTCCAATTCATGTCTGATTTGCAGGAGAAGGAAAAAAAAATGTGATCGCGAACTACCATGTATGCAATCGAAAATGTAAAAAAAGAAATGAAAAGTAAATTGGCAAGAGCTTACCGCTGGTAATAGCTTGCACTTCGTGTCGCCAACGGAATGAACCTTGCCAATACAGTTACCCTTCATCAACGTATGTTCACAGAAACCATCAAAGGAATGCCATATAAACTAATTTATCTCTACAGCCTAAAACCAACCCAACGGCCTCCCCTTAGCCCCTCCGGACGACCATCTAAATCTCCAAGATTATCCCTACCAACACGGCCTGCAAGTATAAAGCGGCCATCAACCCAAGCAGATGACAGGGAGCTGTTTAGTAAAGGCTCAAGTGTCATTTCGGATGATATTTCTGACAGCGAGGCGGACGACCTATCTACTGAGAAGTCTGCATCTGTTACAAACACGAAAGACCTTCTGAAGCTCTTCCAGCGGTCTCGAAAGAAGGGCCCAGAGCCGCGAAGTACTTCTGTTGAGATTGTGGAGAGTTTTGACCCCAGAAGCACGGATAAAGATACCCTAGATCTATCTACATGGCTAGCCGAGCTCAAAGAAGCGATTCTACATAGAACGGACACCTCGAAACCAGGTTATCGCGAGAAAGCAAAACGAGAACTTGCTAGACTATCACTACTACAGAAAGACAATCCTGGAATTAAGGAGATAAAACCAGACCCGCTTGATCTCATAAGACCTCCTCGTTCAATTGCAGACCGTTATTTTGCGATCTACCTTACTCGTGAATATGTTAACCTGCCAGTATTCCATCTCCCAGCGTTGCATGCTATGTATATTGAACTATATACAAGTAAAAATTCTGGAGACGATAAAATTATTTCTCTCGGCATATTTAACATGATCTTTGCACTGGGCTCTATTGCCATTGATCCCTATTTTGACGCCTCAGATTATTTCAACACGGCACAACGCCTCCTTCGACTAGGCTCCCTGGGGCCAGATAGCTTCTCGACTATCCAAGCACACATTCTTGCCAGCCAATACTTGATTGCAATCCACAACTTTCACGCTGCGTGGAAATCTATTGGACTTGCAATTCGTATTGCTGAATCACTTCGGCTTCATCTCGGTTCAGGAAGCCAGCATCTTGAAGATAGAGTCGATAGAGAGCTTGCGAGGAGGCTCTGGCACAGCTGTATTCTTCTAGAAAGGTTGGTTCGATCGGATTCATGCACTGATTAGGCCCATACTGACCGGTAAGTAGGACGATAGCTCTAAACCTGGGTTCAAAAACAGTTGTAACCCCACGATCCTTCCAAACACCACTTCCAACGCCCCTTGAAAATGAATACATCGACGTGATATTTGGGGGAAAACCCGCAGCTTCTTCTGAACGGCCATCAATTATAGAGTTCTTCACCGCTTATACCCGCCTGATGGAGAGGTATGAAGATGTTGTTGCTGTGCAAGAGGAATTTCGCCCTATTACGCATCACCCCCATAAGCTAATGGGCATATGTGAATTCACCACCCTCCTAAATGCAGATCGGAAGCTGTGCAACTGGGTGGCCGCTCTTCCTCCTTTTTTGTTGCCCGAGAGCAATCACTCTTCCTTAGAAAGTCCAGTTGCAAAACGACAACATAACATTCTCCGCGTTAGGTATCTCAGCATCCGACTCCTTCTGTGGCGGCCTCTTCTAGCCCTTCTTGCTGCATCGCCGGATCTACTCTTGGGCAAAAACACCTCTAACCGCTCAGGCGAAGCCTGCGAAATTGTTGATACACCTATAATACACACCATAATTCTGAAAGGCGCCTGCAAATGCATACTCTCCGCCCAAGAAATAATAAATTGCTTGGCAGAGAATCAACATCCCGACGGGAAAATTGATCACCAGGCACCGATACCTGACTGGTGGGAAAATATTACGTCGACCTTCATTTGCGCTCTCGTGCTCCTAGCTGCTCGTCTCTGTCCCGTTGATCTCATCAAACAGTTACCGAGAGGCAGTAAATCTGTGGAAGATGCCTGGGAAAAATGCATTGGACTATTTGGTGAATATCGAAAATTCGATTCCAAGGCTGGAACATACCTAGTTGCCATAGAGTCTCTCGCTAATAGCGTGGCTGAGATGGCTAGCACCAATCCTCCCCGTGCTAAGGACAGGGAAGCAGATGCTCAACCGATCAATGATGTTACCTGGCTAGAAACGCTGCCAAATGATTTGCCTTGTTCAGTATGACCATCGCCGTCATTTTCTTTATCCCTAAGCTAAGATAGCTCACAGCACAGGATAGTAATTTGAGAAGCTTACTACAACAAGGATGCGACATTTCTCTGTTTTCATTTAACTATTTGGATAAAACGATGGGGCGTCTTTGAGCGTTTATCTACTCAGTCTTGTCGTATACGGCCAGGATTGGCAGTACCCTCTATGCACCCTATACCGTCAACAGGGAGGTGGAAAACTTTGATACTTAGGGAAGAGAGCGGCCGAGGTTATTAGTACCAAGCGGAGGTGCCTCTATTTGAAACCTATATGGACTGCTTAACGGCAGATGAACCGTATAGCCTCGGAGGCTCAACATTGTATGATAGCGTACAGCTGCTTTAGGCTTAGTCATCCGGCGTTGTACCCGAAACTTATATAGATCAGATAGTAGCCTATTAATCCATCTGTAGGCTTGAAAAAGACATTGTTTTGTAATAAAGCATAAGCTATAAAGAAGATCTGTTTATGGTGGTGTATACCAATAGCTTGTTGGTACAGCTGCTGTGTGGGGTGCTCTGCCATGCCCATGCTTGTGCTGTCATGCCATGTCGGCTTGTCGGGCGGCGCCGGCTTAAGCTCCCAAACTTGCATAGCATCCGCAGGGTGGAGAAGCGTCGTCTTCCGTATACTTACAACGAACTAGATATGCAAGTTGCCGAGCGCAACTGGACAGTAGTTGAACTTCTCTGTATTTCACGCTTTGCTCCAGATATTCTTCTTCGTTTACTAACTAGGGAATAGACACTTCACGTCCACCGCTTCAAACATGGCGGCTACAATGCAGGCTGCAAACCGGCTCCAGTCCGTCCTCAAGGCAGGGAAGACAGCATACGGTGTCTGGCAGATGTTCCCTGGCGCCAACCTCTCCCGGGTAATGGCGAGATGCGGATTCGACTGGGTTCTCGTTGATACAGAGCATGGCAATATCGATGGTACTTTACCATGGTATTTAGAGTAAGATTGAGTATGCTCTTGGATGCTGATCTTGAATACAGATGCCCAAATGCATGAAGCAGTAGGAGCCATTGCGGCTACGGGAGTCAGCCCTGTTGTCAGGATTGCAGCCAACGAGGGGTGGATGGTCAAGCGTATGTTCATGGTCAATACAGCGTTTATCACGGGGGAAATGGATACTGATGGTAGCGAGATAGGCGCACTTGACGCTGGGGCTCATGGAATACTTGTTCCACTGCTCGAGACGGCGGATGATGCAAGGAAGCTGGTCCAGTCGGCCAAGTTTCCTCCAGTAGGGAAGAGAGGGTTTGGCGCCCCGTTTGCAATGGGTTCAATTGGCAATGTGTCGCCGATAGAATATCTACAGCATGCGAATGACGCTTTGATAACAGCCGTGCAGATAGAGACTAAGTCTGCCCTTGACAATGTTTGTACCCTTTATCCCCTCCTGCACTATCCGCTTTGCTTCTTGAACCCCACACTTCACACAGGCTGCTAAGTTATGGGTAGGTCGAAGAGATTGCCCGAGTACCTGGAGTCGATGTCCTCTTGGTCGGGCCATGGGATCTTGGAAATAACATTGGCCGGCCTGTGGTCACTACCGAGTTCCATCCTGACCTTGAGATCGCTATCGAGAGAATCCGTAAAGCCGCGACAGACAATGGGAAGAAGGCAGGCATATACTGTCCGTCTGGAGAGTTCGCGAAGAAGTACATTGACCAGGGATTCCACATGGTGAGACCTGCTTTTCCTTTTTGTTCCTTGCTTCAGCTTCGTGCTGTCGCCGTTTGCTGATTCGGTTCCGAGTACCATAGGTCTCTGTTATTTCGGACGTGACTGCGCTTCCCATTTTCCTCAGTCAGAGCTTGAAAGTCGCAAAGGGAGAGTAAATTCAGAGATATCCTCTCAAAACTAGCAATTGTAGATTCCTGGCTTAGAGATATATGAAATATATACACTAGCATTCATCAATGGCCTTTTGAACCTCTGTTTCGGTAAACCGGTGGAAAAGCTTCTTTGGATCGCTTAGCTGGCCATTGGGGAGTGTCTTCTCAACGTGTAGAACGGGAACATCGAATTCATACATGTCCTTCCACTGCTGGTTCCCAGGGGCCATCACGTCTATCTCTGCGTACTCGAAAGTCTTTCGCTGCCGGAGGTTGTTGAGGGTGAGTTTGGCGGTCTCGCATAGGCCACAGTTCAGGCGGGAGTAGAGCGTCAGCCGAGCATTCTGCAGAAGAGAGAGAGTAGGCCGCATCTTTTAACAGATATATCGAAAAGTAGCTAACTGGCTGAATTGCTGGATCACCGTCGTTCACTCGGCGCTTCTCTTCTGGATCCTTTTTGTTTATTTTATTATTTTTGTTGGCGTGCCTGGAAGAAAAAACTTTTCCTATCCAGAACCTTCGATAAGGACGATAAGAAAAAGCAACGCTGGAGGAGCTGTCGCTCTCGCTCGCCCACCACCGCCCTCAGCTGGATTAGTTTAAATATACTTGGACGCACCCCTCCATCCCTGGCAAAAGGCTCAATTTGTGCTTGCTACCACCGTCACGGACAATATGGCTCAGAAGTGTGTTCACAAGGGGTGTGGCAAGGTGTTCGCGGACGCTGATGAGTCGTGTGTTTACCATCCTGGCCCGCCAATATTCCACGAGGGACAGAAAGGTTGGTTCTTCACCCCGGGGTCGAGAGTGTTACTTATTTTTACGTTGGCTCCTAGGTGACCGCAGTTACTGACTGGCAAGATAGGTTGGAAATGCTGCAAAACCCGAGTCCTGACCTTTGACGAATTTCTTGCCATCCCGCCGTGTACGACCGGCAAACATTCTACGGTCGACGATACACCAGTTGAGCCAAAGAATGAGACTGCTGGTATCCCTGCATCGACCCCTGCTGCAGATGCTCCCGTTGGCACGACCAAACCCATCGCTGTATCGGCTGCGCTACCTTCCTCGCTGAGTGCAACCGGAGCTCACACACCTACACCCACGGGCACTCCCGCCCCGCCAGAGTCCGAGTCGGACGATCCGTCGTTGGAGATACAGCAGGGAGCAACATGTCGTCGGAAAGGATGCGGTAAGACGTACGGTGGGTCTGGATCTAGGGAAGGAGAAGAATGCATTCACCATTCCGGATATCCTGTTTTCCACGAGGGGAGCAAAGGGTGGAGCTGCTGTAAGAGGCGAGTGCTGGAATTCGACGAGTTCCTGAAGATGCCTGGTTGCAAGACGAAGAACCGCCATTTGTTCATTGGCAAGGGAAAGAAGTCTGCTGAAGAGAAGGTTAATGATGTGCGGTAGGTCGAGCTTAATTTCCCACTTTTACAAGCTGCTTTTGGTTATTGCTACTTAGTAGAGGCACTGACTTGGCTTGGTGATGATTAGGACCGACTATTATCAAACCTCCTCGACAGTGATCGCTTCAGTATACCTCAAGAAGATAGACAAAGAGGCTGCCAAAGTGGACTTTGCATCGCCGACCACGATTGAGCTTGACCTCCCTACCGCGGACAACAAACGGTACAAGGAGACCTGGACTCTATTTGCACCAATTGACACAGAGAAATCGAGCTACAAGATCATGGGGACGAAACTTGAGTTCTCTCTTGCAAAGGCAAATGGGGAGAGCTGGCAGACCTTGCGGAGTACCGACCCACGGACAGGCGAGATCATTCAAACCGGACGACCGACAAGGGCATGAGAACACAAGTTTCGAGCATGAGAGGGCGAAAATAATGGTACGAGTAACGAGGTGAACGAATTGGTGAGGAATAGTGGAATATATCTGAACTCTTTTTGTATTGACATTTATAATTTTTTTTTTATCGAACACACAAAAATAAAAGTGTGAAATTTTCACCAATTGAAAATTCCAGCACCTCCAACTCCCCGATCCTCTCTTCCAGTAGACATATCCGGCATCATGGAGATAGCTCTGAAGATGGATGTATCGTGTCCTCCACGACTAAGCCAACAGAGAAGTATGAACGCTCAGCCATAAAAGTATGGGAAAAAGGACGACGAGATCTCCTCTCCGAAGCCGGGAACGGAAGGAAACCCATGGTGAGATGGAGCAACCTTCAGCAAGCCGCCGTAGCGGTGCCTCGGGATTGAAATTTACATGTAGTAAACCTCTACTGATGTGAGGAAAGAAAGGAAGAAAAAGAGAGAAAGCGAAAAGCTGAAATTTTGCAGTTTTATAGCCCCGGCCGGGCGGAGATCACATGACTACTTACATAAGTCCTGCTTACTAAATACAAGCTGACTCATATTGATTACCTAATGGTTTTCACATGCTCGGAAAACCACGCCGGTTGCGGCTAGTGCGGCTTGCGGCGCCAAGGCCAGGCGGGTCCTGTCCGAAAGGGGACTAGGCGCGCTCAGGGCGGCAAGTGGGCACGAGACCCTATTTTCTTCGCTCTCCTTTTGCTTTTCCGGGCTTTTGGCCAACGACGTCGAACATCGCCAGCTCTCCTTTTAATATCGAGAAGTGACACGCGACGCCGTCCTCGTCTTCACCCTTTTGCCCTGCCTCCCGGTCCTGTACTCGTCAAGGTACATATACCCTGCCCTGCACTACCGGCATATCAGTCTCCGCCCGTCGATCGCACGATTCACAGCAACCAGGCAAAGTCATCTGCGGGGACGGCGCACTCGAGAACGTCATCTCACATAAAGTTGCTCCCTGCCCTCCACCACACCCCCAAGGCTCACTCTATCCCATTTTCCGATAGCCACGATAAGCGAGCTGATATTATTTTCGTCGTCGTCTTCGGAGAAGCTGGTCTGCCTGGTGACACACACCTATTTATTTGTACCTCTTCTCAATATACATTTCACATCGCCCATCGTCTCTCTCACGCACACACATTACAACACTCATACACACATACATACATTTATATACACACACCAGCACAAGAATAATGCCCTCTGCGTGTACACAGCCGGTTGGCTGCCATGAAGTCAGATACATTCCGCTGTCATACAATCATGCTGACTCGCAGGCATCGGCTTTGAGGCTCGTCTTGACGCTCAACCCGCACTGGAAGGATGCTCAAGGTAGGATTGAGTTTGTTCGCTTCACCGATGGGATCACCAATACGGTATGTATATCATCATCATGACAGAGAGAATGGTAGACTGTCGTTCGTCCGCTGCTTCATAAAATACATCATCTCTGCTTCTCCTGCGCCGGTCTGACGAATTTCCATCGTAGCTGTTGAAAATCATCCTGAGGGCTCCTGGCCTGTCTGAGGAAGAGATTGATAAAGAGGCTGTGTTGATGCGAGCATATGGAAATAATTCTGAAATCATCATAGACAGAGAACGTATGTCTGCGCTCCATTAGACTTCCCTATGCGACAACCCACTGAGCGCTTTGATCACCTCGCTCGTTTTGTTCTATTCCAGCCTGGCTAACCCGCAGCAACCCATTCATTGTCTACAATAGGGGAGACAAAATCCCATGCCCTTCTCGCTTCTCGAGGCCTTGCTCCTCCTCTCCTCGCCCGGTTCGCCAACGGACTCTTATACCGATTTGTCCGTGGACAAGCAGCTTCTCCTGACGATCTCACCAAGCCTGCCATTTGGCGCGGAGTTGCTCGTAGACTCGGCCAATGGCATGCTGCTCTGCCCATCAGTGATGCGCCCTCCGATGCACCCTCACCGGGGACTCGGGACGGCGATTCCCTCTCTCTAGGCTCCAGTGACTCCGAGATCAAACCGGTTCAGGAATCAACCGCCGTCGAAGATGACATCACACCAATCAACACTCGTTTCGAGGGGCCAAACCTCTGGGCAACGCTCCAGAACTGGATCCTTGCATTGCCAAAGAGCACGGACCAGGAACGGACCCGACGAAAGAACCTTCAGAAGGAGTATGAGAGGATACTTTCTGAGTTTGATGATGGATCTGGCCTAGGTGAAGAAGGAGTAAGACTTTTTATCCCTGGCCCTATCATATACTATATTGATCCATATTTGCTAACCTTGCTACCTACATAGATGGTCTTTGCCCACTGTGACCTATTGAGTGCCAACGTCATCATTCAGCCTCGACCAAAGGAGTCTACTCTCGCGGATGGCGCTGCTGAAACCGTCGATTTCATTGACTATGAGTACGCTATTCCGTCGCCGGCTGCGTTTGAGCTAGCCAACCATTTTGCTGAGTGGGCCGGCTATGACTGTGACTTCTCGAGGCTACCAACTCGATCTATTCGCCGAAGCTTCCTAGAGGAATACGTTGATAGTTTTGCCCAGCACAGAGAGCTCCCTGAGTCCAAGCAGAAGACTGTCGACAGCCTTTTCGCTGACGTTGATCGCTATCGTGGTCTTCCTGGCTTTTACTGGTATGGTAGACCTTATCACACATTCATACACAGCCACCATACTAACATATCACTTCTAGGGGCGTCTGGGCTTTAATTCAAGCAACTATCTCCAGAATTGACTTTGACTACGCCTCTTACGCTGAGCAGCGTCTCGCAGAGTACTGGGCCTGGAGGCACGAGCAAGACGGCTCTCGCTCAAAGGCCGGCGAGAAAATGCCTCTTCGCGAGCAGCGCTGGGCCCAAGAGGCGTAATCACTTCATTCCCACTTTCCTTTCTTCCCTCCCTTGCCCTCTTCACTTCTGCCGCTCTCCTTTATGGGCTACTATCCGGAACAGCCTACCGCTTTTTCAGATCTGACTTCCATGACCTCCCGATGGTACTCGTTGTTTGACCTTGACAGTCTCTGCGGTACGTCCTGTTCCACTTATTACATCTTCTACTTTATTAGCGCCCACACCTATTTTTGGCCTCTTCTTCCGCTTTATCTATTCATTTAATGTTTCATCTACGGGACCTTCCATTGCCTGGACAAATCATTCGACCACGAGGCAATACTGTACTCTTCCGACGACTGTTTCAGCCACACAACATAGTTTCTCTACCGTTTAGACAGCAGATAGCAGAGTTATACAGGCGCCACGAGGTTATCTGTGTATTTTAGCTAGCTTATATTACACATAGAGTAACAAGCCAGTTAGCTGAAGCAAAAATACAGTCCGTGCTAATAATAAGAGACCGCAAAGCTACTCCGCACAAAAGATTAAAGAGGCAGATGTCTTGAAATTGACCGAAACAGAATAACTTTTCTCTCCAAATGATTTGAAATATTTATTTATTGCTTCCGTTGTTTTTTTTTTTTGTTTTATACTCTCCGGGTGGTTCTCAATGGATCCACGGTGGAGAGCCAAAGATTCCTACCTACGTCATCCCGAAACTCTCTTGCCGCCGGGCAAAACCACATTTCAACCTACACCCCACAAAACAGCCGAAACAGAGCCTGCAACTATGCTACAAGATGTTTCTAGTTTATCACTTGTCTTTTAGCTCCTACGTCTCTAGAATCACTTTCTCTTTTTGTTTATACCCAAATTTCTGGAGACAAATGGCGTCATCACAAACTTTTTTCCAGCATATCTTACGGCTGGCAACTATGGCCCAACTACCCCGAGGAACTATCTATAAGCCGATATTCTCCATAAAAATCAAGGAGACTTCGTGGGTGGGAAAGGAGATATACCCTGGCAGGCTGATATAACAGCCGTCTAGACAATTTCTTAATATCATTGATGAAAATAACTATTGAGGCTATAATGCGCCTCATGCTGCGTCCTCCTTGTCCTCGGCTTCAACTTCTTCCTCCCCTTCTTCATCCTCTTCATCGTCATCATCTTCAAAATCCTCCCTATTCGAAAGAGATTGAGAAATAGCGTCACAAATCTTAACTATGGTATCGCTTTCTGTCCGGAAGAGAATTCGGTTCATCATTCTCAGCGCACTGGCGTCCATGGTTTCCTCGGAAGGCTCCTCCGCTGCGTCATACCATGCTTCATCCCTGGCCTCAAGCGCCTGACGAGCAGCCTCTTCAGCCTCTTTGACTTTTCGAACCAATTCAGGGTCCTTGCACAAGTAATTTGCTCTAGCAATCACGCTGCCCCCGGCACGCTGATTAGCAACAAATATCTGCGGGTCAATGTGCTCGCGGCCCCAAACATGCCATTGCATGATCTCGATGTCCTCACGGAGGGTATATGGCGGCTCATCATCCCAGGTCTTACTGCGCCATTTGCGGGATAGGCGACTATGAAGACGCATGTCTGCTAGATGGCCGATGATACTATTCAGACTACGACCTGCGTAGGGGAAGTTTGCATGGAGCCATGCGGATGTGACGTCTTTCATCGAGTTGACGACAAGCCATGCTTCCTCGTTGTCGGTCCATTTACGACCTGCTTGGATTGATATTAGCTATTTTGGTTATTAGCATGGGATTAGGCACATAGTCACCTCGGATAACTGTCGAAGTTGTCTTGTTTTCTATTAGCCTCGGCGGTCGAAATGGGTTAGGGGAAGTGTATTAACTCTGTTCAACTTACCTGGGTCCCTTGATCTTGGGAGGTAGCCATTGAGACGGAGGAATCACTGGTTGTTGGGGTATTAGAGGGCTATAGAAATGGTATTCAGGATTCCCAATAATGCAGCTGGCTTATACCTGCTATTGTATAATTGTATACAATATCTACTATCGAAAGGAGAAAGTCAAGCCTCTTTTTATATACCGGCCGTGAACTGCAAGGAGACCTGTCCACAAACCCATACCCCTGATGAACAGTTGCAGACCACCGAGTACATGGCAGATGTCGCCAACTCTGCCATCCGTCTTGTCCCTCATTGGAGGGAATCGGCCATGGGCAGTTAAAGGGGTTGATGCTATATTCGGGGAATTGACTGATGGCTGCTTCACTGACGCTGTCTCAAAGGAGATGGAGCTGTCTAGGTAGGGAGTATCAAGCCACATTGTGTATGCACATACAATGCAATGGCCTAGGGATCCTCCGCCTAACAGGGTAGATCCATGACAGGCCCTGGTGCCTTTGATTGTGCATTGTTGAAAACAATGCTGATAGTTTCTTCGAGTGATTGCTCTTGTTCTTTTTGGGGATATTGACGGGAAGACGTCCACAGCCAGGCTATAGATGTGACCAGGGAGTGAAATTTTGACACCTTCGTTCGTATTCTAGGATATCTAGTCCAGATACGATATATTATTCCCCAAATAGAGATAAATTCTAGCAGTCAATGAAAAGTACGTAATTTCAAGGGCGACATGTAGTTACCAAAATCATATAGTACGCCGTCATAAGTTTATCCAGCTAAGCAATATGCTCCACTTTGCTGTATGCACACTGCTGCAAACAGGTCTAAAGGAGGTACCTCTTTGGTGAATAATGGCTGATCAGGCTAAGCTTAAGTATATCTTCCTTTCTACTGGCAGCTGGAGCTTGTAGGTACACATCGGTTACTAGGTATAAGCAAGTTAAGTTATGCAGCTGGGTTCGATTATCATTATCTAGCTAGGGGAACAAGTAAGAGAGAAGTCGTAACTGCCATGACACAACCTGACTCCGTTGTCGCCGAAATTCGCCGCCTCTAGGTACCCATGGAAGACCATTAATCTAGTGTAGAAAGAGGACGGGGACAAATAGACAAATAGAACGAAGTGATAGAATGGGGTGAAAGGAATAAGGGTATACAGGTGGGGTAAGGAAGAGAAAAGATGCATTATTTTTTCGGGCATTCGAACCTGTGGAATAAAGAGGTAAAACCAGTGTCTTTTTTTTTTTTTTTTTTTTTTTGTGTTTTGTTTATTTTTGTTAGGGGTAACAGTCCGGGGAAGAAAGACCAGAGAAAGAGAAAGAAGGCAACAAAAAAGCGTCCTTTATGCATGCATCAATCCGTCTATGCCGTAGTCTACAAAGCCAAAGGGACCAAGGCAGCCATGATGGCACCAAGGGAGAAGCCAACGAGACGTCCTGCTCCGTTATTCTGGGCTGGAGGAGAAGGAGTAGGGGTTGGAGTATAAGTGGCAGAGATGGTAGGAGCGTGACCACTGGTGCTGATAGCTCCAGTACCAGTAGGGAAAATGCTAGAGATGATACCTGTGCCAGTAGGACGAGGCACATAAGTAGTGGAGGTGCCTGGTTGCTCGACGAGAGTGAAGTTGGCGCAGGTGAGGCGCGTACTGTTCCTATGGTGGATGACAATGGAACGGTTTCCGAAGAAAGTGCCCAGACCAGGCCTAGTAGAGGTGTAGAGGTCATGGAACGTCTGGTTGAAGTGCTCCTCCATGCTAGAGGTGGTGAGTCTGCCGAACTTGCCGCTGAGGTCTCCTGGCTCGCAGGTCTGAGGGAGAGAGTCATCGCATGGGGGTGTCTGGCCACGACCGAAGGGATCAAGGTGGTCCTTGGTTGGTCCGCAGCTACCATCTGTTGGGACTGGATCGACGTGGATGTGGTATGCTGTTGTTGTTGTTAGCTTAACTATCTTGTTTGTTTGTTTGTTTGTTTGGTCGAAGCACGTATGTAACTTACGGAATGGACCCTCTGTGTTGTCGAAGCCCCAGAGATCGAGATTAAACACGACACCTCTGCCGGAACTATGAGCAGTAGCATTGATAGTTCCTCTGATACCGGTTCTGCTGGTCTCGGGCAACTTGGCCTGGTACACAATGCCGAGGGGGTTGTTGACGGTCTCAGGGGCATCCTGGGTGGGAGTGGCCAAAGCAAGGCCCAAGGCCGAGCAGGCAAGGAAAAGAGAGGCCTTCATGCTGGCTGATGATGCTTGTTGGTGTGGTAGATGTGCAGTAGTATTAAGAGTAGGTATTAGACTGTGAAGCTGAAGATGCTGGTAGTTGTTTGTTGTAGGAAGAAGAGAAGAAGAAGAGAAGAAGAGGAAGAAGTAGAAGAAGAAGAGAAGTGAGAAGCAGCTTCTTTAAGGGAATCAAAACAAGGTGAAGAAGAGGACGACCGCCAGCCGCTTCGTGTAACTAGCTAACCAGTTAGTTGATTGATTCACTGATGATGATTCAAGAAAGCAAAGAATAAAGAGAGAGAGGGAGGGAGGGAGAGCCAGTCTGAAGCCGTCGACTTCACTCTTTATATAGACCGTGAAACCCGCCAGACAGCCCAGCTCGCAGCTGCGTTTCCAAAGCGCCGTGAAAGAGAGCCGCCCATTTCGCCCATTCGACGGGGGGGCTGTTTCCAAATCATGGTGAAGCTCCCTGCTCGGCGCCTACGATAGGCCTGCCCACTATTCTCTAGGCACGTCTTGTCCGCTGCAGCTGCATCCACTCGCAGGCCCGCCGTTGATTTGCAGCTAGGGATAGGCCGGACGCATCCCCCCCGTTAGCCCGTCGCCCCCTGGGCAGTGCGGGCGCTTAGAGCCAGCGGACGGCCTGCTCGTTGGCTGGCGCTCCTGCTGGGCCCCGGGCAAGCTGGGGGTTGTTAGTTAACTCGTTACCTAGTTATTTTTATACTCCGTGCTAGGAGGTCCGCTCATGCGTTTGTCCTACGAGTCTCGATTTCCTCTCAGCCATGGTCTGTCGTCTTGGCCGCCATTCCCGCTTTGCCCTCCTTTTCCTTCGTCCTTTTTCCTTCTTCCCTTCGTCTTTCCTCGTCTTTCTTCGAGTCTTCTTGCTTTTCCTTTCTCTTCTTCTACCTTTTCTTTTCTTTTCTTTTCTTTTCTTTGAGATACGGCGGGCGCTTAGATAAGACAGGGGTGGCTGATAGATAAGTCCCAGAGAGGACTAGCGTGTTTCAAGGTGATGACATAATTGGAGCTTTGACTTTCTTGGCATTTTTGAAACATAAAAAAAGACAAAATAAAAGACAAAAAAAAAAAAAAAAAAGGCAGAAAAAAAGACAGTAAAAGAGAAGAAGAAGAAGAAGATAGAGAAGAGGAACGGACAAAGGAGAGCAGCGTCCAAGGGGGGGCGGCAGGATGGAATATTGATGCATAGCAAGGCGGTAGACACAGCCGGGCCTTTGCTTTACCTCTTCTCCTGCCCAATCAGCCCCACAGGATTGTCACTTGAAAGACCAAGAGAATTCCATTATTCCTAGCACCTTGTGGTTGACAGTGACTCTAGCATGGCCCATCTTATTATAGGTATATAAAAGCAGCTTTTGACCGCCAAATCTCTGACACCTGCCCTTTTGTTTCTAATGTCTTCGGCTTGGCGGCCTACACGATGAGCTCTACATCCCCTGTAGCGCAGGGTGGATATTAGATAACTATTACAGATCTTCGGAATACTAGACCGCATATATTTGAGACATCCATTATTGCATATCTCGCATAGGATAGGCTGCTCCCCTCATGGCCACTGGGAATGTGGAGTCATAGGCCTCTGGGAGCCCGCAGGGAGGCTGACGGACCTTATCACATTTTGACCCGCGAAAAAGCTACCACGAGATAATCATGGGGCAGCCACTCTCTATAGAGGGACAATATCCTCCACATTTCTCTTTATCCATCGGACACCTCCAACGAACACTAGCTGTTTATGAGATTATTTCAGCCAGTGCAGTGCAGGCAGGGGGTTGGGAACGCCGGTCTCGACCGAACCATAGCCGACGAGAAAACGAGTTTCTTCGTCCCAGACCAATCGATACAACTCCTAGTCGCCGGCCGCTAGATGAGCCATGGATTGTCTTCTGTAGGGAGCCTGCGCCGCAGCTCACTCCGCTTTATCATGGACTTGCGTTTAATCCAGAGCTGCAACTCAATGGTGTTGAGTTGTAGCGTAAAGTGGCCCAGTCAACTTTTGACTATAAGTAGCTAAGGGACCCTACGGTGGATACCTTTAGCTCTCTAGATGAAGTGTTAGGCGTTTGGGGTAATGTGTTACCATGATTTGTTCGAACTGGCCAAGGGCATAAGGATATTGAATTCACCTCCTTGATATTCTCACTTTGACAGGCTAGGTTAACCCCTTCCTTGTCAATCCCTCTTCCAGTTACCGAGTCATTAATTGCTCGGGTATTGTTCTGTCGGGAAGGAAAATGTTACCATTTTTGCTACCTGTGTGGGCTCGCTCTTTGGGCCCAGTGGCATATTTGATATCTTCTTGGCCAGGAAGTTGACCAGATATCTACCTAGTGTTAGCTAGCATTCATATACGTAGCCAAGCAGTCTAGAACACCCATGCAATCGATCGCTTTCACGATTGTTGGGAGGCGACTCCTGGTGCTTCAGGTTCCCACATCGCCTTCATCGAGGGTGGATCATAAAACTTGGTCGAACAGCGGAACCGCGGAACTCGCAGCTAAATTTAACATGGTCACTCAATCAAATCGCTGCCCAAGTCCCTAGATATGCAAATCTCAGAAGATCTCCTTCACTCTGCTAGTTATGACTCTTGGGTTACGGAGTATTCATGCTGAGAAATGGTCGGGAATGAATTGAGCTAACCAGCTGACTTAACTAGTTACAAGGCTGATTAGCTGCTCCGGAGGTACGGAGCGATCTCTGGGCCACCTGTGGGACTCCAAGATATCTGATAACCATCTAGCTTAGTGATGAGCCACGGATATCACCGAGCCCATCGCTCTTGGTGAAGAGAGAAATCATACAACGAGCACTACTCGCTTTGCTTGACTTCGGGATCTTCGGGATTCGGGATCCTAGGCACTGGATAGGACATAGATGGCCAAGAGACCATCTAGACGGGGCGCAGTTTGATAACACTATAACTACTCGCTACCAAAGACCAATCTGATAAGGCATGGTGCTTTGCAGCTTGCTACAAGGCCTTGGTTTCTCATGAGATGGGGGATTGTTAGCCTTGCCTGGCCACATTCAAAGCGGCGCTTAAGTGCTGAGTTTTTCTCCTTGTATATCCACATGTCCCATGGCTTTAGGCGCAAACAAAGTGTATTTCAGACCTGACATTGCATGGCAGGCGTTTATACACGGAGTCACTTGAGATCCTGCGCCAGACCTAACTTGGTCCCTTTTTTTCTGAGACGCACCTAAGTCGTTAAATATCTGCGGCATAGCAAAAGTGCGACTTATCTTGCTACCATTTACCGTTTGCCACGAATAAAATAAGGCGAGTACTTCTTCGAAAGTACTGTCTCGGGTTTATACTTTATATACCTCCATGCGCCATCCCTGTGCATAATTTTGGTGGTTCAGCTGAAAAAAATATGATTCAAATGGCTGGGGCTTGCATTTCCTTCGAGACCCGAGAAAATACTGCTTTCTGACCAAAGAGGCCTCGAAGAAGAGTTTCTCGCTGTTTGTCTGTCTTCCGTGAATCGCGGGAGATGCGAGATGTGTCTCAGTCGGGCGTCGCTGAATCCAACCCCGATAATATTTTTTATGCAGTGGCCAGTAATGCATGCAGCTAGAGGGATCAACAGCCGACTATTTATTTGCTTGATGGGAGACCCTTGGTCAGTTACACAGGTGACGAGCCAGCCTGTTCGCGCAGTAACCAGTAGCAGGCCATCGCAGGATTCGCAGCTCGGGTAGCGATTATGTCCCTCTTTTTAAAGGTACACTCCTCCGTCCGCATCGATGGCACTTAATGACCATCGAGCATCCAGCGTCCAGCATCCCTTCACCCAACAGTCGACCAGTCAACCAGTCAACTAGCCCACCATGAAGCTGGCTTCCCTCCTCGTCGGCTCGCTGATGCTTGCCGTCCCCGCTCTCGCCTTTGAGCAGTCTGCCATCCAGACTCTCCGCGACGCTACGACTGCTACCGGAGCCTACCACTCCAAGTTCCCACATGCTCTCAGCGAAGGGCCCGAAGCAGCTATATCGAATATCAACTCGGCAACGGCGAGAGCGGCGGACGAAGCGAAGACTGCCATGACTGGACTGACGGTGCAGAGCCAGAGTGTAAGTGCGCAATGCAGCCAGCTACAATTCGTTTAGAGAGTGAAAGTTGACTCCGGTCCAGAACAAAGGGCAGTGTCATCAGTTGGCTGGTGCCTTGAAGGGCGTAAGTTGGATCTCCCCTCATGTTTTGGTCGTCCTTTTTATGCCCAAATACGGAGTACTGACGATGTTTGTTTGGCAGTTCTTTGATGCCATGACGACGCTCTCGCATGATGCTACCAACCCGGCGGTGTTCTGCAGCAAGAATATTGACCGTCTGGGGCCGTCTATGGGATGGAACCTTCGCCTGGTCAGATACGGGGTAGAGGTCGGTTCTGTCCTGCTCCTTTCTTTTTGTCCCTAATAGTCGGCTAATGATATTCAAACAGCCCCATGCTACGACGCTGAAGAGAGACTGCAAGGACGGGGAGAAGCTCGTTGCTGACCTGGCTGGTAGTTATAAGATCGCCGTCGACAGTCTTGAACAGGCCCAGGCGATGCTGGAGAGCCCTCAGGGCAAGTGTAAGCAGTGAATGCCGTCAGATGTCAGGCATCAACTCTACCAGCTTATGCGCTGTCAAATAATTCTAATAAAGCTCTTCTTATCTCCCTCATCTTGTCTCCTTTCTCCCTATCAGCTTCTTCATCTCTCGTTTTATATCCCCCATCACGTCGTCCACCATCCCCCTTTTCTCCAATCAATCCCCGACCAAACGAAAAAAAAAAAGAATCACGTGAAATATTACTAATACTGTCTATCACATGATATCCCGCCCCCTATCTGGGACTAGTGGGTCCAGTTGCCATGGAAATGATGACTAATAAGATAATAGTATTATGATTGGCTAGATCCCCAATAAGCACCACTCCATGCCCCACTTTTTGTAAACACTCGGGCCCTTAAATGCAAAAAAGTTTCGGCTTTATGAGATCATGTTTGGATGTTCAAGCCGTGCGACGCGCAAGTCAAATCTGACACCCAGACTCTTGAGGGTTTTCCTCGTCCACTGCCACAGCTGTTGAATTCACCTACTCCGTACTTCTGCAACACCTTCATCCCAATTCGGCCGTTGTTCATATAATTGTCGCCTGCCTGGTCGAAATCTCCTCGCCGTCTACGGAGTACCCCGTATTCCTGCCTCCCTGTCTTGCCACCCTCCACCCTGAAAGATCAACAACACCCCTTTCCAATCCCCCAGATGGACAACTGAAGTGCTGGTTCACTATTACTCCTTTTCAATTCTCACCAGCAATATGGCACCCAGGTCAACGTCGGGCTCTTCAAGAGCGTCCTCTGGCCCTCGAATAAAGATTGACACGGAGAAATACTCCCCTTATGACCATGATGAAGAATACGGCTCTCATTCAGAGTTTTCCTACGCAACATCTGCCTCGGAGTCCTCAGCATCCAGACCGTTTCTCTCACAATCAAAATACAGGAGAAGGCCCGGAGTAAGGCTGTACAGAGTCCCCAATTCTATCATGAGGTGGGTTTGCTTGGGCGTGTTTGCGGGGCTGGTCCTCTTTGTCTTCACCTTGTTTAGGGTCACGCTGTCCCAGGCAATCTTCAAGATTCCAGCTCCTCCGCCGCCAAACATATTCAAACCGCAGCCGCCTGAGTGGGAGAGCTTCCCCTTCTTACTGAGATACTACGGTGGACTTCGAACCTTAACACCAAAGAATGAGAGCGCCCCTGAATACCCGGGTGGGAACGACGGACAGGATAATTCTACCGCTGAAGAACCAGTTGATATGGACAGAGTTGTCAAAAGCACGCCCTTCAATCCTTATCCAGAGTTCTCATCAAAGAGCTACGTTGAAAAATACGGCAGGAAAGTTGACTGCTTTATGGATCCTGAAAGAAAGATCTCTGTCCCCCAAGTCCGTCGATACGACGGGCTCCCAAGGGGGTTCCCCGATAGTGTTATAGGCTCTAATGAGTTAATTGGGCTTGAAACCAATGCATGCTATGATCGATTTGGTAGACTTGGACCTTACGGTCTCGGATACGGTGTTAGATCTGGCGGTACCGGAGCTGGACTGGAAGGTGACAGGTCAGGAGTAGACCATATGTGGGAAAATACTTCCCCAGTTGACTATCGAAAGGTCAAATGGGCCAAGGCGCAGAAGCAATGTCTGCACGACAACCGTCATCGATTCCCCCTTCCCCTGGCTCCAAAGACAGATAGATTCCTCGGCATGTCCGTAGGTGAGAAAACGCCACGAGGCGCAGAGACCACCCAAAATGGTGCGCCAAAAAACGCCACGACTCCTTCTACTACAAAGTTGCCTCGAACCGCAGTCATAATTAGAACCTGGTCAGAGTTTAAGTACGATACCGAAACTATCTTATACCTACGCTCCCTAATCGCGGAGCTGTCGCTCTTTTCTGGTGGGGAGTTTGATGTTCAGTTCCTGATCCATGTCAAAGATGACAACCTCCAAATCTGGTCAGACGAGGACACTTATAATCGTGTTTTGCAGGAGTCACTACCGGAAGAGTTCCAGGGCATGGGTACTCTCTGGTCTGAGAGACAGATGGGCCTCATATATGGTGGTCTTGAAGAGTCATTTGCTCGAAACCTCCCTGTCCATGGCGTGTATCGCAGTACATTCATGCCTGTGCAGTACTTTGCCCTTCAACATCCTGAATACGACTACTTCTGGAATTGGGAGATGGATGCTCGCTACACGGGTCACTGGTATGATTTGTTTAACAAAATGCGTCTATGGGCAAAAGAGCAGCCTAGAAAGGGACTGTGGGAACGAAACAGCCGGTTCTATGTCCCTTCTGTGCACGGGTCATGGGAAGATTTCCGCCATACCGTTAGAGTGCAAACTGAGCATGGAACAGCTAGCCCTAATAACATGTTTAGCGCAACATCTAAGGAACGACCAAACGGTCATCGCCCAACTGAAATGAAAGGGGACAGACCTATCTGGGGCCCCGAGCGACCACCAGCAGAAAATGATGTGCTAGAGCTAGAAGACGATGGCATCCCCCCAACTACTTATGAGAAGGACAAGTTCGAATGGGGCGTGGGCGAGGAAGCTGACCTCATTGTTCTCAACCCTCTCTATGACCCTGATGGTACCACATGGCTACTCAAGGATGATATTACAGGGTATAACAAGAGCGAGGAAGCACCACCACGACGAGCAGCCATCATAGCGGCTTCACGCCTCTCCCGCAAGCTGCTACTTACCATGCACAAAGAAACCAGTCTGAAACGACATCACATGTTTTCCGAAATGTGGCCGCCAACAGTTGCTCTTCACCATGGCTACAAAGCCGTATACGTGCCTCATTCAGTGTACATTGATCGACGATGGCCAACTGCCTACCTCGAGTCAGTCTTCAATGCAGGCCGCAACGGCGCAACTGGTGGAGCCAGGACATCCGTCTTCGGTAACCGTGAACATAATTTCAGAGGAACAACCTGGTATTACTCTGCCGGCCACTCGGAGAATCTCTGGCGACGATGGCTAGGCTACCGATCCAACAACGATGGTGGTGAAGAATACGAACTGGCTAATGAAGGGAGGATGTGTTTGCCGCCCATGCTACTACATCCTATCAAGGAGGTCAATATGGTTATCGATAGTGCTGGGAGATCATGAGCTTTCTCCCCTGGTGAGGCATTTCCGCCCTAATGATTTTTTTACACATTTCTTATCCCATCGGGAATGGGTGTTAATTACTATTTCCTACCCTTTCATGGCGATGGCGTTGATATATGCCCATGTTTTGCTTTCTGTTGAAGAGTATCATGTCTTTTCACCACTGTTTAATATGTGCTACCAGTCCCACCGCCTCCTGTTGCATATGATGAAGTGTTTTATTGCTGCTTAACCGGTTATCTACATGTTTAGATGGGTAATAATATGGGAATAGATTGGATTTATGATGCACTCCTTGACGTCCGCTTCTGATGGTAAGCTGTGTTTGCACATAGCATTGATGCTAGCTACATGCTGGATAAAAATAATACTATATAAATCCTCTCAACTATGTATCTAGTACATACGAACACAGGAAGTGGAAAACAGAGCTTCCCGTCCGCTCAGCTGTACTTAAGCCACTTGCCGGTCGGTTAGTAGTTGGCTGGGTGACCACCAGCGAATCCCGACTTTCGTATGTTTTGATCTTTTTTTTTATCATTATTAATTATTTCGATTCTGCTTCCTTTTGCTCTGAATTGATAGCAATTTCTATCGGATAAGTGGTATGTTATTTGATGTCCCAAGTAACTAGTTAGGCACTCAATTGTGCTGGTAAAAATTCCCGCCGGCAGACTTAATCGGAGCCTTAAATAAGTATTCAACTCATCTCTTAACCCAGAGGCTTAGATATAACATGCAGTATCTGCCTTGACTATAGTCTTTGTTGTTTGTAGCAGTTTCCCATGTCCATCACTGACTTTCACCACCGCAGGAGACACAACAACCTGTCCAGCAGCTAAGTTGCTCCAAATAAACTGGAATCCACACGGCTGTTCAAAGAGCCAAATTCCTAACTCTGCTGCATCCTCCATTACTTTGGTTAGATGGCGTATTCTCTCTGACTCTAGATGCTGAGGGTTTGCGAATGGTCGGAATGCAGCTGTGAAAGCATCGACGGCTTTCGAAATGTTCTCAGCCCTCGTGGAGAGGTATGCTTGCTTTTGTGTATCTGGCACACCTCGGTAACTGCGCGCGGTTAACATTCTCCAGTAGAAGTGAACCTGGCTTTCTTCTTGGTCTAATGTAAGGGTTAGCTTTGTACTCTGGCGATTCTCGAACTCGTTTTGGGTACGTGCCTTGTACCTGCATTTCATGGAAATCCCTGGCGGCAGTGAATGGAGGTGGGAGAAACGAAGTTACTTCGGATCTAGAAGCAGATGATGGCGCAGCATGAAAGGTAGCTGGAATGAGAGACTGAACCAGGCAATGCTTTATGATTGGCTCGCGATCATTGGATTGGGACAGTAGAGAGACAACTGGCGCTGGCAGAAACGGAGAATTGTAGCTGCTAAGCATAGCTACACATTGAGATAAATGCTCAGATTCAAAATTCGAAGGTGAGCTGGAAGTGTAGTAATTCTCGACATGAAGGGCAAGATGATCAAAGACGGTCAAGATACGGCTCTCCACTGTCTTATCATCCGCTGGAGTAGGAATATAGCTTCCTAAACCACTTTTTTCCGCATGTAAATCAAGAGAACCGGCTGTGTTTGTCTTATCTGTATTCCCAGCAAATGGAACATTGCTACTGAAATGTTCTCGGGAGCAGGCTGTTTCAATATCATAGTTCTTGTCCACCAATGGTTCTCTTGTCTGCCTGCCTTCAAGGTTGTTCCCCCCTCTCGACTTCCGGCGGCCAAAGAAGAGGTACGCAGCAATGAGAGTTAGAAGCGTACTTCCAACAATAGAACCGCCAATTGCACCAGCCAGTATCCCAGTGCTGAAGCCAGTGGTTTGGGGCTTTTTATGTAAAGGGGGATGGCTAGGTTGCAGACTCTCTGTAGGTGGGTTGTAAGTTGCTGTGGTAGGAGGATATTGTTCAGTAGCTTTCGGATGCGTCGTCCCGGTTGGAGATGAGAGTATTGGCACAACGCTGGTCATTCCAGCTCCAGGGACATATTGAGAGGTAGGAGATGCTTCAGGTGGCGCAGTCCACGTATTGATGGTATTAGGGGGTTGGCTGATAGGAACTCCAGGAATCGCTGGATTAGCCGGCCACGTTGGGGTCGCTTGAATCGGTGGTTGCACAGCAGGGGGGGTAGCCATGGGATCTTCAGGCGCTTGTCGTCTTGCTGCCATCTCGAAGTCTGTAAAAATGAGTTGTGTAATGCTGGAATCACAAGCTCTGGTATTATCAAAAGCTCTAGTCAAAGATGGGAATGCCTCGTCTTATGTGAAAACGACCCGCAGTCAGCAGTCAAGGCTGAGCAACAAGCGAGTTTCTCTTTTGGGTTGAACATTCCATACTCTGTGTAGAGTCCCAGTTGCTAACTACATGGATTATCACGTAGTTATGGTATAGCTCCAACATTTGGCGTTGATGTTGGGTTGCCTACTGGTCGGAATAGTTACAGGGGTGCTAGTATAAGCCCTGCACAGCCAAGATGAGCAGAAGGCTCGAAATTGTTGGTAGGAGATATTTTTTTTTGACTAGCCTGGGGAACAAACAGTTAGTAACATCTAGCAAGCAGCTTTCAACCGTTACTAACTGCTAGGACTCCAATATAAGAATCTTGGCCTTAGGGGTGCTTGTTGTTCAACTCTTCGGGGGAGATTAATTGAGACAACGGCTTGCTTTCAGCTAACAAGTTAACTGGTTAGTTGGCCAGTTGATTATTTGGAGTGAGCTGGCCGAATTTTGTGCAGTAGAGTCGTGTCCACTCCATTGAACCCAGTTAACTAGTTAGTTAGCGCGTTTCCCATGGCTATAATTTAACCATTAACTCAGGAGGCACTGGAGTAAAAACAGCACGTTATCAGTAAAAGTAAATAAATAGATAAAAAATAAAATAACAGTTCATTGATAGTTAGGAGACTTGTGTGTACTCAGCTGTTTATCACAAACGAGTCATTAGAAACTGAATTATCAACAGCTATAACTAGCTGCGTGTGCAGCCGTGCGACATAAACAGAGGGACCATAAATGGTTTACAATGGCACCCTAACGTGAGGTATATAGGATATCTATAACTCAGCTACCGGGACTAGAAAAGTTCCCAGGGCCTGATGAATGATTTTTAATGCCGGGTATCGAAATTGAGCGAAGCCGTACCACGAAATCAGTCTATTGGCCTCTTGCGGAAAAACCAGCATCGTCCATCTTTATGTAAAGAAGGGTTATAAGTTCAATCTGTCGGTCGTCATTCACCTGTATCTTCTAGCCACAATGGATCAATGTATCTCCATGGAGCAACTAATTAATTATCAGCGACTCCGCGCCCACGGCATCAAAGTTCATTTCCGAAGGTAGTTGACTATAGTCAACGAAAGAGCGTTAACTAATGCACCACCCGTCGGGAACAAGGCATAATGCAATATCAGTGCGAAGTCCCCTGAATTCAAACGTTAACTATCCGCAATATTTTTTATTCTCACTGAAATACTTTTCATATGAAGGTCCAAAATCGGTCCTTGTTGTGGTTTTGATATTCGCACAAGGTCGACTGTATAAAACTTCGCTGTGACATCAGGGGTTGTTTCTCTCTCCTTGAGTAGACTGAATCCTTGTCTGAGTGTTTGCTCACATAGACCAAGCACTCGTAGTAATTTAGCCTTGTCAGATAAGCGAGCACTATCTTCTGAGTGATTCATGCTAGTTTCTCGCGCCTTCTGACAGCATTCTTTAAGTTGTTCAACAATATCCTCCAGGCCTTGGTCTTCTGGCAGAGGCACTGAGAGCTTGCCTAGTTGAGTACGAGATTCAAAATTAACTGAGCAGGGAAGTGTTGGAGTAGTTGCCTGTCCCACTTCAGTGTCAATATGTCCCCGGAGGCCAGAGTATGTGTGGACGTATGTCAGGTGCTGCTCCGGCGAGAGTATGAGCAACATGTAGGACTCGAACTTTGGCTTCCTGATCAGATGGTAGAGCGCCGGAAGCATTTTGTCTTCTGTGCCCGGAAATTGATAACTCGTTAGGTACAAGACAGAAGACCAATATAGATGCAAAAATGCGTATTGAACAGTGTGGTAACTTCTTACTATCTTTTGGGTATCTCCCACACTGTTGACTGACACGGCTCGTGCGTTTCTTTATCGGGTAGTTGCTGTATCCGCTGCCTTGTGTAGTTGTATTGAGGGTGGATTTGTTTCCCATATTCCATGAACTTCAGAGTTTTTAGTCTGTCACAGCAGCTTCAATGAGGATGCTAACGATATTCCCATGCAGAGTTAGGCAACTAAATAAAGTCAACGTGAGTTTCGATCGGTTCCATACCAATGGAACACGGGCTCGGTAGTTAGCTACAAACAAGGTAGTTAACTAGCTATAAATACTCACTAAAGGCCATCAATCGCTAACTACCGAAGCATCGCCTTTTTCAAACGGAGTTCTTCTTAATGATGGCCCAAAAGCAAAAGCCACATCCTCATCTGGCGGCTAACTAACTAGTTCGGGTTCCAGGCTGGACTGGCCGCGCCTAAAACATCCCTGATGCTTGTCCTTCACGACTCCAACCGTGAATGGATAGGAGAGAAGCGACAACATATGTGCTATATACGGCTCTCCGTCGCCTTGAATGCTATGTCTCCCGCTTAAGCACATCCCTCTGGTTCTGGACTGCTGATATCCGAGAGTGAAACCGGCTGTACGATATCCTAGGGCTGTTAGTCAAAGCAAGACTTGCAGGCCACGGCACTCCGTAACTAGTTAACTAACTACTGGTTTTCGCGTCTTCCGGCTTCCGCCCTGCTAGTGCGCCGCCCCGGCTGACGATGATCAATGACAACGAGCCAGCGCGGCGAAGCTGATGAGCTGTTCGAGCTTCGGCTTCTTTGCTGCGTCTTCGATATCGCCTTTTTCTGTCGAGTTCGGCGATTGGACTTTCGACTTCCCTTCTGGGCACCGCCATCCAAGATCCCGTGATGGCAGAATCCAACCGTATATATTCTTACTCAACGTCGTTCTTCTCTTGTTGTCGATGTTCTGTTCTTCACCTCTATCACTTATACCACCCTACGACCTAGAGAAAGCTGAGTGTAGCTGTCTGCTCCGACTCAAAGTCCCCGTTCTTTCGCTGTTGGTTAGTTATAAGCTGGCCCACTAAGAGTGTTATTGGTGGACCACAGTCAGTCGTTCAACGCTGGTAAGTCTTGGTGAACCACAGCTGTTCAGTTGAGTTTATTGACCACGAATAGATGCAGTGGAGCTTTACATTCCCTCCCGTTGATTTCAGAATCCAGGTAGACATGGAGAACCCCCCGGTACACACCAATGTCTACGCTCCTTTCTTCGGCTTGATGATCTGGCTTGCATCGACGCTGGTAGCAGTCCTGCTCGTCCGCAGGGTTAGAGCTGGATACCTTGAATTTCTCTCCCTAGGGCCCGGCGGGACACCTTCTACTCCCATGGGATACCTCCGGATATGCTTACTGAGCATCTTTGCCCTCCGGAACCCCTTTAAACCACCACATATACCTGAGACATTAAACCCTAAGACTGGAATACTCAAATATCTGCCTACTCGTACCGGAAAACGCCCAAAAATTGCAGGAATCATCCCTCATAGACAAGTCACACAGCAAGCCACACCCGACATGTACGCTGCTCTCAAAGAAGAAATAAAAAAACTTGCCCTCTCCAATTCTGATCGGCTTTATGAGGGAACGTCATGCTTCGAGAAGCATAGCATTGGTCTCTTCACTCCTCTCGACTTACCAAATAGAGTTACATGTAATGGAGAAATATGCCACGCCCACCCCATTGATGGGAGCATTCATATGACTCTTCATCCAGCAGATGTCAAGTTTGTCATTGAACGGGGATGGGGTGAGCGGCACCCGCTTGCTCGAGATAGCTGGTGGTGGATGTTTAGGCTTGTACCTACGGGGTTTGTCATGATATACGCTCCCCGCTCGAAGGAGGAGTTGGACAGCGTGGTTCAAATCATCCATGCTGCTTCTTGGTGGGTCAATGGTATTGAACCGCGCTGGTCTACACCTGCGAATAGCAGTCGGTGTGGGGTCGAAGGGGGAGCTGGTTTTATCAAATCTCAAGTTAGAACCTAACAGTCGATTTCTTCGGAGCGGATGATATGACTGACTCAAGGTATTTTCGGGAGTAACCCCTTCTCCTAACCTTTCATCATGTATATTTACCCTCTCTTCATAACGAATTACCTAAGACCGTTAACTAGGTACCTAGTTAACACCAGAAATTGAAACGCCATTTCATTGTTAAACTGCTTCTAAGTATGGGATTCTAACGCCAGTTCCCTGGAAGTTGCAAAACATGAGCTCTCTGTATCTTGGGAAAACAACAAAATGACCACTCCATGATTTACCCAAAGTTCCAGGAAGTTTCAAGCCAATGGAGATCAAAAACCTCTTCCTAAAGAAACGGCTGAGGAAACTCCGAAAAATGAGGACTCTTTGGAGAAGAAATCCCAGGTTTCCGCCTCAGAATACCTAGTATTGATCAGTGTGATATTGAAAATGTGGGTTGAACAGAGAGTATCTATGCAAATTCTAGGTCATCAACCTGTGGATACAAATAATATTCGGTTAGTGAGTGAAGTAAAAGGCAGTGCAAGTTATATGGCGTTCTCACCTTAGCACGCTTGCTGTCTTCCGGCACAACACTGCTGGTACCGGTTCGTTTGGTTACTCGGTGGTGGAGATAGAAAAATTGGTGGTTAACAGGCCTATTGGTGCGTCGAACACTAGTATCGCTGCCACCGGTTATAGACTCTGACCCCTCTCTGTCGGGGTCGGTGAGAGTATCATCTGAATCTCCCTCTGGCTGGGTAGTTGGTGGCTCCGTTGGATCATCTGTTTCGATGCTAGGGTATATGATCGTGTCTTTGTCCTTGTCCTCCTCGTCCTTGTCCAGTTTGGCGTCCACATTGTTATTGTTATTGTTAGATTCTCCAGAAGAGGATAAAGAGTAGAGTGAGTTAGAGTAGTTTGGGCTATGTGGAGGTGAGAGGGATGAGAGTGACAGAGGACCAAATTCTGGCTGCTCCAGGCCTGGAGAAGGAGAGTAAGTCACGGACTGAACTGAGCTGCAGTATTCTTCTTTGTCTTCTTCCCCCTCCTCGTCATCCGAATGGGCTGTCTGCTGATAAGGCCTGAAGGAGTCGCAGTAACCTATATCTGGCAGATATCCGAAAGCCTGATTGGTGTTCTCTGAGGAATATGAAGAACACTCTGAATCTGATCCATGAACTCTGTGAGTTCCCTTGGGATAGAAAGGAGCCCAGCCAGGGAACCCCCTAGCCATGCGAAGAGCCGTTGGAGAGATGTTGAACATGTTATACCTTTCAGACAGAGTGGTGGAATCTGAGGCAACGCTTTCACCATCCTCGGCGCCTTCGGTCTCATCCTCAAAGGAGTCCCCGTACAGATCAGTGAAGTCTTGGTATGCATCACGGTATTGTTGGGGAGTATGTCCTGGTGATCCAATCTGTTCTGCCGCCACGTTGATAAGTGCATATTTCTCGACGCGAGTTTCCTGTTGGTTACGAGCATAAGCCTCGAGCTTTTCAGACGCGACGTCGAGCTTAGCTAAAAATTTTCTCTTCTCGTCTCGCTGCTGGCTTTTGGACTTTGGTCTGCAGTCCGCTGAGATGCAGCTTGCCATGATGAGCTGAGACTCGGAGGTGCAATAAAGGGAAAAGGATATAAAGGGGAGGCCAGATCTAGCTTGGTAGATATGGCTTTGTAGATGGAGAAAGAAACAGAAAGAGAGAGAGAGAGATAGATAGAAGAGGAATAATTGCTTATTCCTCTGGGAGGGAGAACAGCCTGTTGGCCTGAGAAGGGTTGGACAAATATCAGACACAGCTTGTGGAGGGGGAGTCATGAGAAAGAACAGCTGCTGGCTGGGCAACCAAAATGATGAGTTTTTATAGCCATGACTAGACAGTGTTGCGCCGAGACAGAACATAGTAGCCATGTTCATGCCATACGCATAGGACAGGAGAGGCAAAGGGGAGCTGTCGAACTTCTCAGCAGGTAGCTGGTTCTGGTATCAGGGGGAGTGGAGGAGCTGCAAGAAGAGGCAGATAGACCATAATAAGTTTAATATTCTTTTACAGTTTGGACCAGGTCTATAGAAGCCAGAACAGCGGGAAGGTACGGGCAGGGGTAGAAACATCTGTAGATATATACGTCAACAGGGGGGAGAGAATATAGATGCGTAGGTATCATTCTTTTGATAAAACCAGGAAACATCAAGAAGGGGAAGGGGGTGGAAACAGGATATCAACATAGAGATGGTATCTCCTGCATGACTATAAAAGACAATGCAATTCCATAGAAAAAAGGAAAAAGTCATGTCTGTAGGAAAAGGAAATGGTATTGTAGATATGCAATAAGGAAAGCATAAGAGTCCTTGCACCTAGACACCTTTTTTTTTCTCATTTAGCCTGGATGTTGCAGTTATCAAATATGTAAAGTGGCAAGGGGAATAAAGGGGGAGAAGTGAAAAAAAAAGGGAGAACAGGAGAAGGAAAGGAAGACAGCATCAGGCAGACAGCTGATGACAAACATGGAAGAAAGCGGAGGACAAGCAAGAAAATGAGATGATTTGGTAAGAAGCGTTTGTTTTCACACAGGACATCAAGGAGAAATAGCAACAAGACCTATGAAAAAACAATGTCCTGTGTCCCAAGCCTCCCCCCATGTTTCTGCACCATCATGATACAACAGTAATGTCTGCAGAGATAAGGATTTCATATTAACCATTAAATAGAGAGGCATTTACTCGTAACCAGCCTTCTTCAGGGCGCCGGCGAGCCATTCGAGGCCCTCGTAGAGACCATCTCCGGTGGTGGCACAGGTAGATTGGATGTACTACGCTCTGTCAGTCAGGAGGTTTAGAGAGAAAAGGATCACGAGACTTACCCAGGCACGTCGTGTCAAGGTCTGTAGACCAAGCTGTGAGGTGATCTCGGCAGGGCTCATGGCGTTCTAACCGTCAAATTAGTACCTGCGAACATGTATGGACATTGGATTAAACGTGTGACTTACGGGGAGATCCTGCTTGTTGGCGAAAACGAGAAGCAAAGCATCCCGTAGTTCGTCCTCGTTGAGCATCTTCTGCAACTCTTCTCTGGCCTCGACGACACGGTCACGATCGTTGCTGTCGACGACGAAGATGATACCCTGGGTGTTCTGGAAGTAGTGTCTCCACAGTGGTCGGATCTTGTCCTGACCACCGACATCCCACACGGTGAATTGAATGTTCTTGTACTCGACGGTCTCAACGTTGAATCCTACGCCAGTCAGTATTTCTTTCTTTCTTCTGACTTGATGTATTGAGTGACATCCCGAGTATTGGACCTACCGATGGTGGGGATGGTTGTGACAATCTCGCCAAGCTTCAGTTTGTAGAGGATGGTGGTCTTTCCGGCAGCATCGAGACCGACCATAAGAATTCGCATCTCCTTCTTGCCAAACCATAGCTTATCAAGCATTTTCGAAAATGACATACCCATCTTGGCGGTATTGATGGACTTTGCGGTGGGCTTGAGGGGGTAGAAAGGTGAGCGAGCGAGAGGGGAGCGGAAAAGTAAGGGAGGGTCGGGTTTGCCTGTGATTGCGGTCAGCCAGCGAACGCGTAAGCCTGAAGACAGCGGTGTCGACCGTTCTGCCTATCGAGCGGTGGCAGATGGTAAACAGGACAGACGAGGAGACGAGAAGAGCGGGCTATCAACGGTTGGGTGGTTGCTGTTGGGTGGTGGTGGTCGGGTGGTTGTTCTGGTGAAGCGGTGGGATGGCCGAACAAGACACCTTTTCACAGGGGGGCCAGGCGAGAGTTTTCTTTTTTAACCTCGCCCTTTTTTTTTTTTTCCTCTCTATTACTTACAGGACGCAAAGACGAGGGAGTCCGGGGGATAGGGTGAGGTGCGCGCTGACTGACAACGCCGGTGGTATCTCTCTGGCTGGCCGTCTGGCTGTCTAGCTGTCGGTCTTGTTGGTGGTGGTGGTGGTGGTGGTGGTGTTGTCGGTCGCTTTGGCGATGAGAGGAAGAAGGAAGAGGAGTTTTTGGTGGCAAGCAAGGCTCAACTAGGAAAGGCGCCAAAAAGGAAAAAAAATTCCCCAGGCAAGACAACGTGACTTTTTGGCTTGGGTCGCAGCGACTGTTGGCGACGACGGCGATGGGAACGGCGGCAGACTCTATAGAGACTGCAAAAGACGACGCAGAGGATGCGAAGGGATGATGGGAGCAAGGGACGAGGAAGCGTTTGGCGTTCGTTATATAACTGCGGTGGCTGGAAAGAGGACAGGTTAGCTGGTTTGCGACTCCAGGCAACAGGATTCTGCGGGCGTTAGCAGACGAAGAGCCGCTTGTTGCTTCTTCCAGCCGTTGGTCGACGGACAGATGGATGATCAGCTAGTCGACGAGGTTAATTCACTAGGCCGGGGAGACTGCATTGGATGTTTGTTTCTCGACGAGTAGTGGCAGGCTACAGTCCCGGGTTGCTGGCGCTGGTGCTCGTCCTCCGTAGATGTAGAGATATAAAGCACGGAGATAGGAGACGGTCACCACAAGGATTACCAGGCCCTTCCTTTTACATATAATGTCCCTGAATATCAAGGCAGGAGATGTAGATGCGGATGTCGACGTGCAGATCTCGAGATACCAATTACCTGCATTGAGAGAACCGGAGACAGCTTCTCACAGCTTCTAACCCCCAGACTCGGACCATCTAGTCATCCACTCGAGTCATATCGATCTACCATTACAATCCTACTTCCTACAACTGTTAAATATATCGGTTCCACGATCCTGGAATCGGAGCCCCCGGGTTGACGGTTCCACTGAAAGTGGAATGACTCCGTTGAGATCCCATCCTTGCCCTGGATAGTTATCATGAGTCACTCTTAAGCCAATACGACCATGGGACAAGCATGCCTAAGTATATAAAGACGATGAAGTTCCCTTGATATGTACCAACAATTTAATCGCCATGTCCATGTCTCAATCAACAATCAAAGTATCACTTTTATCCATTGACAAGTCAAAGAGGGCCAGCAAGATGGAAGTACTTCAAGTACCTAAGGGTCCAGTTGCCCCTTCAGACTTAGTGGCCCTTTGCAGCCGATACCGAACTGCTCGGCTGAGAGCTCTGAAGACATACCCAGAGGCGTTCAGCTCCAAATATGAACGTGAGAGCGCCTTCACAGACGAACAATGGGCCCAAAGACTTCAGAACCCAATGTCAAGAACCTTTGTTGCCGTCTGCATTGATCATGACACAGAAACTCCGTCCAATGTAGAGGATGTGGAAAAGCTAAAGAGCAATGAATGGTTGGGCATGGTTGTCCTGCTGGGCCCTAAAGTGGTTGGATCAAGTATGAAATATGCCTGGGACCCGTTTCTGTCCATGGCCTGGATGCAGCCTGATGATGAGCGCGACTTTAACGATGCCGAAGCCGCGACATTTGCAGTCTCTATGTTTGTTTTACCGGAGGCGGCTAGGCGTGGTGTTGGGAAGATGCTGGTTTCGAGGATGATGGACTCTGCGAAGGAGGATGGCCAGAGGAAATCGATTGGCAAGCTACATGTCAGTCTGATAGTCGAGAGGGATAACGATGCCGCTATCCGGCTGTATGAGAGATGCGGCTTCGCTCATGTTGAAGCTGGGCCTGATCTCGATGGTGTAGGTGGCCGCCCTGTGCCGCCGCTGGGAATGGTTTGCTCTTATGTCTTATGACTTCATTGACTTCTTTTCCATCTTTTTTTCTTTATCCTTACTCCGTAATCGTCCTGTATAATTTATGCCTGTCCTTGAATGAATCTTAGATTAAATACCTGATATACCTACTTAGTGTAGATACAGGGGGCTGGCTTATCTACACGTGACTTTATCAACCCTAATCCAATGTGGCTAGCGCTTAGGGCTTCCCACATTTCGAGGAGCAAAAGACCAGAAGAAGTAAAAAGCGACTTCGAGATTGGAAAAAAAACTTCTGGTCGACAACGCGCAAATCCTCACCATAAGAATTCTTTCAAGTATTCTTCTGGAAGACTGTTCTCATCATGTCTAAAATCACAGTCGGTACGTTTGGAACAACTGTTGGATAATAAGTGTTCGATTATAGGAAATAGAAGGAGCAAATTGGCTAACGAGATTGACGAACAGCCGGAGTGCGTACCAACGTCCAGCAGCTCCTGGACTACTCTCAAAATGAAAAGAAGAGAAACTTCGTTGAGACCGTCGAGCTCCAGATCGGCTTGAAGAACTATGACCCTCAACGTGACAAGCGTTTCTCCGGCACTATCAAGCTGCCAACCGTCCCTCGCCCAAGAATGAGCATCTGGTACGATTATGCAAAAAAGGCGATAAGAGAAAGATTGATGGGAATAAGTGGCTGACTAGATGGATAGTGTTCTTGGTGACCAGCACGATATCGACCGTGCTAAACATCTCGGCGTCGATGCCATGTCCTCCGATGATCTGAAGAAGCTCAACAAGAACAAGAAGCTCATTAAGAAGCTCGCTCGCAAGTACGATGCTTTCCTTGCTTCCGATGCCCTTGTCCGACAGATTCCCCGTCTCTTGGGTCCCGGTCTCTCCAAGGGTGAGTACTCCCATATTAGAATCTTCAGGTATGAAGACAGATCAACTAACTTGACAACAGCTGGTAAATTCCCTACCCCCGTCTCCCACAACGAAGATCTCTCCAACAAGATGAACGACGTCAAGTCCACCATCAAGTTCCAGCTTAAGAAGGAGCTTTGCTTGGGTGTTGCTGTTGGCAACGTTGGTATGACTGAGGATGAGCTTATTGCTAATATCATGTTGGCTATCAACTACCTCGTCTCCCTGCTCAAGAAGGGCTGGCAGAACGTTGGAAGTCTTACTATTAAGGCTTCCATGTCCCCACCAAAGAGAGTGTACTAAGCTTTTGTTAGTTTGGTTCTGATCTTTGAAAATAAAAATCCATAACTCAGAATATGACGAGATTTATGATCCCACTATTTTCTTTACCGTGTCCTGCATGTCGTAGTTGAATTTGTAGAAGTACAATGTTATAGTATACATACAAAGTGCAAAAGGTACGGGTCGTGCCCGGCCTACTCTATTCCATTCCCTCCATATGATCTGTCTTATCCAAAATCATCCCTCTCATCCCAATGAATTCACGCAGTGACTCCCATTCTTCTCCTACTTCCTCGCCTCGCATAAGCGGGTCACTGAAACCCCAAGTCTGTGCAACTCGATCCAAAGCCTGGCGTTCCTCCTCCCGTAGCCAACGACTTCGTAAAGCAGTACCGGGAATCCACACAACTCTCCTCATATGGTCGTTTGAAGTGGCTGCCGCAACTAGCCCGACAGAAGCGGTAAAGGTAACGTATGCAAGAATGGCGGAGAAGGCTATCCCCCTGGCCGTAGACACGTCCATGGTATTCTGGAGAGTTGAAAGGTATGATGCTATTGCCCATGCTGCTGGTGGTGTAGCTACTACACCTAAAAGCGGAAACGATGCTTGCCGGATGATTTTCGAGCGATAGAATGCTGGCGTGCAGAATGCCGTGTCGATGATAGCGAGAGCCAGTGAGAGGTTTCGTTGTTCCAAGGCTACTTCCAGAGCATCATTGGCAATGGTAGGAGGAATTGCATTTTGTGGACTTTTGGGGTTGGATGGGCTATATGTTATTGTCCCACCGCTTGACCGTGGGGATGGCTTATTAGCGTAAAGGGTGAAAATGGTGGGTATATAGTCTGCTTTTTTGAGCTGGCATTGGATCGAGGTGTAGAGTTTCAGTATCTCTGGCGATATAAACACTTTCGGGTCTCGTAGTAACTCGTTTAACTTATTCGATATAGCGGTAGCTGATGTAGATATTGGAGGATCCTTCTTTTGTGTCCGAGACGTCTTTCGTACTGTCCCTGCCTCTTCTTCGTCATCTAGGTTGAGAAGAGAGGAGATAGCGTCCTTCTTCGGTTTGGTGTCTGTCTGCACTTCCGCTGCCTCAACCGATTGAACTGCATCAACTATGGCCTGGCTTTTCTTTAGGATCTCAACGACCGACTTCTCCGAGGGTATTGCTGTACCCGATATTATCGCATCACTCTCAGCTATGACATCTCGAACGGACGGATTGTCGTGGGTCGCCGGCTGTGCCGCAGCTATAGTAGATGAGTATCTATATCTCAACTCGTTCCGCCCTAAAGCAAGTCTTCTGCCGTTGAATATATCGCATGGCTTCTTCCTCGAGACCACTGCGCGCGGTGAAAAGGCCGTAAACCTCCGTGAAATCGAGGACGTAGAAAAGGCGCAGAGCTGGCAGAGCGAGCCCTGAGCTCGCCTTGAAGCTTGCAGACCTATTCGCTTCATGGCCAATACCTTCCAGCCGCTCAATTGCTGCTGTCTTCTGCCTCGTCTCTGCCCCGTCGTCTTGTCTTCCCGTCGCTGTTGAAGATGTCAAAAAAAGAATATTGATTATATAAGAGACCTGCACCGCCACAAGCGCCCATCGTCACCAAATCAACCTTACAGCAACACCAGCATCAACCAGCATCAGGCATCTCCTCTGGCGGTATTTGTGACGACTTAGACGCGCAAGACGTCGTCAGCCAGCAGCATTTTCTTCGACATCTGGAAGGAGACTCATATCTGCCTAGCCGAACAGGCAGAAAGGATAGTTCACGACCAGGTACAAAAGGCCGACTACCGCCTCCTTTGGACAGCCGCTATATGATCCAACCATCTTCTCAACGGCGTCACATCTCGCCTTTCTTCAGCTGAATAGTCACAACTCTTGCACTTTGTCGCAAAGATGCCTCCACCTCCCCCTCCCCCTCCGCCGCCGCCGCCGATGCCTGGGAAGGCTGCCGGGCCTCCCAAGGGTGGTCCTCCAAGGGTATGCAACCTGTACCTGTCACCTATGCCAATCATGCTGATAGACAAGACTGATATATGAAAATAGACTGCTCTCCTTTCAGATATCTCCAAGGGTACAAAGCTCAAAAAAACCGTTACAAATGACAGATCTGCACCTCTTATTGGAAAGACATCCGGAGGCTCAGGAGGCCCTCCTGTTGCTGGTGCCCCGCCGGTTCCGGGAATGGCGCCTAAACCACCAGGCGGACTTGCTCCCCCTGTCCCCGGAGGCGCTGCGAACAGACTGAGAAGCAACAGTGCTGGGAATGAACGGTCCGGAGGTGACGATGGTGCTCCATCTGCGCCGCAGCTAGGCGGTTTGTTCGCGGGCGGAATGCCTAAGCTTAAGAAGCGCGGTGGCATAGATACTGGTGCCTCTTCGAATGCATCGTATCTGTCGGACTCCGAAGCACAGAGTAGCTCGAGGACACCACCTCCTTCAGGAGCCGCGCCTAAACCTCCAATACCATCGAACAAAGCACCTACTTTTCGTCCATCTCCTCCGCCATCTACAGAAGCCACGTCTACACCCCCCGTTAATCCACTGGTAGCCAATCTCCGAAAACCACCACCCCGGCCGGCTCCAAGACCATCATCCTCAATCTCAACACACTCAACTAAGCCAGATGTACCTCCGCCGCGCGCACCACCTCCAGTGCCAGGATCGAGCAGGCCACCACCGCCTCCTCCCGCTCCTCCCGCCTCGAGAAAGGTCTCTGCGCCTGCCGCTCCTCCTCCCCCTCCTCCATCAACATCTCCCGCTCCTCCGCCACCTATAGCACCACCACCTCCGCCATCAGCAGCGCCCAGGCCACCTCCAGTACCTCCTCCAGGCCCTTCAGGCGCGAACGGGCCACAAGCATCGTCGATAGCAATGCAGGCTGCGCGCAATGCATACGGGTCCCCGGCAGCGCCGCCTCCGCCTCCTCCACCATCAGCTCCTGCGGCTCAACCACCACCTCCACCAACTTCACCTCCTTCATCAGCACGAACATCCTCCCTCGTATCAACGCCACTCTCTTCTCGCCCGTCCTCTTTTTCAGATAATCAACACACCGCGCCACATCATCAACCTCCCGTACGCTCTATGCTTGACCCAAGCACTTATACCCTCACTAACGGTGGCTCTCATCGACCCGGTGCTCAAAAGGGCTCGTCCCACGGTAGGATAAGGATCGAAGACCCCCGGTTTAAATTTCAGAACGAATCACTGTTCCCTAAGCCGAGAGAATTTATAGGCGGCCAAAAGATGTACAGGGCCGGCAGAGGTAGCAGCGTACCCTTAGACCTAACGTCTTTGTCATGAAATGAGACTGCTGGATGGACTATTCTGTTTCCTTTCTTCTTCTTCTCCCCCCAGTTTCATGTTCATCTTTGATATATTTTGGGTCTAGGAGCAAATTGTAGCATATATACTGCATGGGATGCATGGACTGGCGGGACAGTGTTATTCTGCTTTCTCTTTACCCAGTCTTAGCTCCATCTAACTACTGTTGACCAGTATTTGCCGCGTTATGTGTCTTCTTCTCTCATGTCTCTTATAGATCGTTCAAAATAGCCTATCCGTCAGTGCTGACTCAGCAAATAAATCGAGGCTGTTGAAAGAGCACCGCGAGATGTGAAATACTCGCGTATATGCCAAACTTCTCGAAAGATCAATCTTTAAACCATACATCATTATACAAGACTTTTGATGGGAACAGTTGTAACTGCGCGACTATTTTGAAGTTAATAGTTGAGCCTATTCACGGTGCTCCTCATCACGCGCATCAAAACCGAGCCTTGCTTAGCCTCTGAACCCGGAGCCGAAGATACCAGAAGCGCATTCAGCAAGCCCGGGACCTCCCTTTCAGAGAAAATATAGATCAGCTGTGAGGAGCCATAGCTATGTCCCTCCAATCCTACATCAACAGTTCGTTGACCCCCTCCTACAAACCCGCCTACCCCTCTATTAGACGCCAGGTGACAAATTTCTCGAACAACACACTAACCCAATGCGTTTTCCCGTATAGAAAAAATTCTCGTCCTCACGGTTGACGGCCGCACATTAATAGGAACGCTCCTATCAACAGACCAACTTACAAACCTCGTTCTATCCCAAACAATTGAGAGAATAATCCGAACGCCAGATGACCCTGAGCCTAGCACGGAGGTCGAGCACGGTCTTTACCTGATACGAGGGGATAATGTTGTCATCTGTGGAGAGGTTGACGAGGACATTGATGGTAAAATAGACTGGTCAAAGGTCAAGGGGGAGGTTATCAGGAATACTAAGAATGCTTGATGGGTTATTATGAAACCATGAGTCGAGGAGCGAGCCAAGGCTGGCATTCGGCAGTGTCAAGAAATTAGAATGGCAGGGCAGCGGCGAGGCAACCGTTGAGTTGATATTGATACCCTATTTAGAGCCGTTGTTCCATCAGTTTGCCTGTGATGTGGTGCTTCTGCCCAGAAGACGAAGACAGAGATTAGGGCAGCTCTCTCATTCCATATCCAATTGAAATGAGCTTGGATTATATCCAAGTATTGGATAGACGGGACAAGTCTAGGGGATTGTCTCTCGCCATTTAACTTGGACCCACGGCATTCTAATCACGTCGAAATAATCTGGGAGATGTTATGTGAGATATCGAGCGGCTGCAATGAGATGGAGTTCAGGACATTTTAAGCAGAAATATAGTCATGTTTACCCTGTTCCTTTTTGATTCCATCTCTAACTTACGAACGCCAAGGCATCAAATGTACCAGATGGTTTGCTTCATTGAACTTGTTTCCCTGATACTTGCACCCAACCCATGTGAACTCCCGGCATTGGTTTATCCGAAGGAGGTGGAATTGTTCACCTGCAATCACACCTGTTGAGGTTTATATTTGATATATGACTGCATCATGCGAAGCGTATCACTCTGTGGCATGAAATCATGACGCATGACGGGCAAACAATATTTTTCCAGAAAACAGTATGTCGACGAATATATCGACAGCCAAACTTCAATACATCGATGAAAATTATAGCCCTGGCTCACCAACTTGTTCATGGTTACACTGCCGAAAGTTCAGGGTGTCGAGTTGTGTGTAGCTTGTGCGTCGGGCTTTGGCTATCGATATAGAGTCATGAGCACGGCATCTAAGTAACCCTCAGGGCGGTCTGTACGTTCAATGCCACAGTGGTCAGGTCCCCAACAGCGACTGGTCAGTCCTGGCTTAAGTAGAATACAGTTTACATCCTAGTCATATGAGAGAAGACATGTCAAGCCGAGGATGCAAGCCAAAAGCGGCCAACCTCCTCTGCATCAGCCTGTCGGGTCCTTGGGGAACAAACCATGCAAGAAGAGGGCACGATGTTTGGCTAGAACGGCTTAAGCAAGTTCATGAAACAAGCTTTTCTCGATCTACCCGTCTTCTCATGGGAGTGCACACAGAGAGTCGGAAGGGATCACCGCTCGAGATGCGGGATGTGGGCACGCAGACGTTGAGACCACGGCGTCGCTGCATGTGGAGCATTACGACTTTTTGATATGTCCAGTTGTTAGAGAGTCCATTTCTTCAGACGGAATTCCTCTTTTTTAGCGTTTTGATTTCTTGCCCTTGCTTAAAGCACGTTGTGGGGGAGGTACCCCAAAGTACCAAGAAGTATATCTTTATTTGAAGCATAGACGGCCCGCATATATAATAGCTGTGAACTTCACTGCTGTTATATAAGACCTTTCAATTGGGTTGATATATGTTTGACTCTGGGTGTTGTTCGTTGCGGACGCTGTATCTAGGAGAAGGTAGAGTTAAGAGTTGGGCGTATCTTTTGTAAAGGAAGAAGGAGCGAGCGGTTTGCGCTCTTACATCCGTGCCTTCCCGATATTATTGTAATCTAGGGAAGAAGGAAGGAGCAGCTTCCTGCTATAGTGGCTGAAGGGTAATATATATAATTTTTCCGCCTTTTTTCATCTTCGTCCCTTCATCTCTCCTCATCACCATGCACTACAGCAGCAGACCATCACCTGCCATACTAACAGCCCAGTAACCACTGGTAGGTGATATCTCACTCTATATATACTCCACAGTGAAGAACATATATATAGGACCGGGCGAGAGATAACTCTGGTTTCTGTTATGTTAAGTCCTAAACCACAAAAATAGAGGTGATCTCTCTTGCCCGAGTCTCAGGCCCGCCACTCATAAAAAGGCAACGGAGAAGCAATCGAGATATATACTTTTTGGGACTCTCCTTAACTTAGCATTTAGCTAACCGCTATTATGTTAGTCTATCAGCTGTGCATTTACATCCCTGAGGCTAGGCTAGGCCATTTAAGTAGCTGTCAGCCTCGTCACCAGCCGACATCATGCACAGGTCTCAGCTCGCACAAAACACGCGTAATCTGGTGACGGACTTACGTGGATGACAGTATGTAGGATGATAGCCGAGCATGCATCAAAAAGGCCAGGCAGGATACAGTAGTGATTGATAAAGACGTGCTCGACATACGTCCGTCAAATCCAAAATTGAAGGAGGCCATCTCTTCCTAGATAAACCCCGCCGTTAGAACGTCAGACTTACCAACGCCTTTTATGCGTGTTAACTGTTCACTCCATCTCTCGCCTGGCCGCGTGTACGTCCCCGTATTCATCTCGTCTACCGGGCGGTACTTTGAGTGACCAAAACCCCAGAAGCGCGCTTGGCGCACGTCAAAGAAAGCCTCCACATGATTGGATCGCCCAACGCGACGCTAGACCAAACGGGGACGCTGTGGGTACAGTGGGGCCGCGGCGCCACTTCCTAGGCCTTGGCGAGCTTGGCACCCCGTGGCCCGGTTGGGCAGCCACAGGGAGGCCAGTGCGCCCAGTCTTTTCTTTTCTCCTGGACACATTTCGTGTTATCTTATATACTCCGGGCTCCATCTCGCCAGTCAGTGTCTGGCTCTTTTCTTCTTCGCCGTTGTCGACAAGGGGACAATACACACAATTCGCTGGCCGAAGACTGTCCGTGTTTCAACTATTATATCTTCACTCTGCTAACTCTCAGCTGAGCGCTTCAATCGCCCCCTCTCTTCCGCGCAGGTTTCACCACCAGTAGTAGCGCCTTACGTTTCAAGTTCAATTAAACCAACCCGCCCTCTCATCTTATCAAGCCATTATCACCGGCTCGACACGCCTCGCCTCATCAACAAGCGCCCCCCTATTCCCAGCTCAAATGTGCAGATTTTTCCAAGAGATTCTTGCGTGTTGCTCAGACTTGCCTTCCTGGCGAAGCCCTGAGCTGAGCTGAGGTCGAGCAATTTGACCAACCTTTCACGACAGGGTGATGTGGCTGTTTCGGGGAGCCCAGTCTGCGATCTTCTACTACGCAGCCTGTACTCCTTGTACAGAGCATCTCCAGAAACGGAAGAGGAAGAGAGACGCAGCGCGGACTGCACGTGAGGCCGGCAGGGATGCCCTCGTTACCGACCAGCCTGTATTCTACCAGCCAACACCGTTCAGCACAAACAGATACTGGAGCGAGGAGATTGCACTAGGACCTGGGCCGCCAGCGAGACGTGGGAGGAACAATAACAACCACAATGCTACCAGTCGGACGGCGAGCCAGAAGAACCTGGCGGCGCTTGAAAAGGAGAAACCCACTGTGACAGAGAAAGCAGTGCTGACTGGAGTACTGGAGGACCTGCCCATAGCAAAGGACGGCAGCAGTAATGGCAAGAAGAACGATACGGGAAGCGGTCTGACTACTCGGTGGAATAGTGTGAGGTATCAGCGGGACGACGAAGTGCTTTGGGGGTGTGACGGAAGGGCTTCGTCTACAAGTCTACGGGTAGCAACTCGTGGCTCTTCAAAATACTCCCTCGATCCGCCACCAGAAGTTCATGACGTCTATCCACCGATTGCAAATGCGTTGATGAGGAAAGAGGAGATCCAATGGATGCTTCAACCACCACCGAGTGCGAAGGTCATGGAGGGTAAGATCCGAGCAGACCCTGCCTCGAGGTTCTCGGCAAGCAGCAGCCCGCTTCTCAGGGGTATCACACAGTCGCCGAGCAATATTGGTACTGACACACATGGACATCAACATCATCTCTCTCGGCCGTCTCCCGTCCAGAGTCTTGAATCAGCCTCGCTCAGGCATAGCCCTACTACAAAATCACGCAAGTCCTCGACGGGAGCGACTATATCCCGCGGCCTAATACCCATCGACTCCTTGATCTCTCTCTCAAACACTGCCCAGTCACAGGACCAGCAGCGCTCTTCCCTCCCTCGTCTCTCTACTACAGTTCGCAGACAATCGTCCGATCGTCATCATCACCAACAACAGCAGCAACAGCAACAGCTCACCCTCTCTCCATCCAATGACTCCAGCACCGCTTCTCCACTAGAACTAAAACCGTATGTATCACTCCCCAGTCTCCAACCCCCGAGGACCCGCCAGCACCGCAAATATGAAACAGAACACCGACCAACATCCAAAGAAACCGTTGACAGCGGCAAGGCTTTCCGGCCTATCACCCCGTACTCTAACAACGCCCATTGGCTCCGTGCCACAAGCCGTTCAAAGACATCAAAGTTACCGTTCACCAGCACCGTACAGCTGGATAACGATGATAACCATGATTCGGACCACTCACTTGATGACGTCGAGTTTGATCGACTAGACCGTATCCGAACATACAGATGGAGCATGGACTTTTGACCAGTCTATATCTTCCCCCCTTCCTTTGAAGAAAAGCAAACATAAAAGAGTTAGAAAAAATGGGTGTTTCTTGTATATATTCTTCATCCCTGCTCTGACCTGACGCTTTGATTTTTACTTACTCCTTAACTTTACTTTACATCCACTGTATCTGCCCTTTTCCTGCCCTTTTTCCACACACGGCGTAACGCCAGTATACACAATGCACCAGCTTGTCTATACCACCCCCTGGCCTGATTGGCTCTTTTATATCTTACTGCATGCAACATCCACAGCACGGTCTGTCTTTATTCGTCCTTACGTCTGCATATTTCATTTCCTTCGCGCATTCGCTTCACTCCGTCTTTTTTGTTACTCTTGAAAATTTCTAGGTTTTCCTCAAGCATGCGAGCAGGCTGGTTTCTTCTCTTTGTTGGCGAGTTGGCTTTCCATTCGCTGGCCCATTTGACTTATAATATTTTATTTCGTTTCGTCGGCCTAATCCTTTTTGCTACAATAAAGATGTTATTTTTCTCTATCTACTAGACGTTGGTGGTTGGTTTATAGGTACTTTTATTAAATGGATATCAACTGAAGGCTCTCTATTTAAACAGATAAGAGGCCTTAGTAGCAGGTAATGCACCGTTGCCCCCGTTTTTAATCCTTCGCTTCTAGCAAGAAACGCCGTAGTAAAAGCAGGCAGTAATGAGCGCATGGAAGGAATATGGATGACAAGAAAAGGAGCCAACCCGAATGTGTTTACGCAAAAGACAAAATGGGAGATACAACAATAAACTGTAGAGATAGACAAAATGGTACAGCTCATTCATTTTTTTTTTTAAATAGATCATGATGTAGATATATATATGAATGCGACCCTCTTGACTTTCCCAACTGAAGTAGATTGGAATAGGAACTGGAATGGAATGTAGTAGAAAATTGGAAAACGACAAGTGGATGTAGATATTGGGCTGTGGCGCAGTTCTGAAAGTGCGCATTGAAAAAGCTTACAACCAAACCGGCAGGACGTGGGATACATGACATGACATGACATGGCAAAAAGACAAAGGGTAGGAGAAAAGAGATATTGGAATGGCTCACAATTGGCCATGCATAGGAGTCGATGGGACGGGAGGAAAGTAAGGCGTCTTTTGCACCGGCATGATATGTTCTTCGAATATTTTTGCATTTCATCTTTTCCGTCCCTGGGTGGATGTTGGGGGTATTGTTTTTACTTATAGACGAGCAGCCTGATTAGTAAACCTTTTTCTTCTCGTCCATGCTGAGCTGCCCAGGGCCCATGTTGACAAGGAGGACCAAGCCGCCACTACGTAAATATTAGCATGTAATCGGACTAGATATCAACATACATAAACACTTACACGATAGAGAGAATTTGGAAGAAGTCGTATTTGGCAAAGTCCTTGTGAGGGTGGTGGGGGTGGAGCTATTGAAAAGCCCAGTTAGCGTGGTGGAACCTAATACGGGGTAAGAAATATGGATACGCACCGTCCAGAAGTTGTTGACAAGGACGTTGAACACGCTGAGGACAACGACCAAGATGACAGCACTCCATTTTGCTTTGAATCCAACAACAACCATGACTGAGGCAACGAGACCAATGCAGCTGACAATGATTCGCCACAAGCTCCATTCGCCAGAGAAGACGAATCCAATGAACAAAAAGATGAGCAGGACTCTGCCGGCAAACTGAACGTACATCTTGCGGTCCTTCTCCTCGAGCTGTGGGAGACCAGCGGGCATGAACTTCTTGCGCACCCAGGAGTCAGAGAGGACCATGAGGAGACCACCGATGACACTGAGGTTGCGGACAATGAAGGTTATGTCAATTAGAAGACCGTAGCCGAGAGCCTGAGCGACCACAACACCGAGGAGACCGGCAACAGCATATTCACTGTGTTTGCGAGCGATGACGAGGACAGAGCAGGAAAGCATGACGACGACGTTGACAATAAGGAAGAGGTGTGTTATTCCCCATGGAACTGCATGATAGGTTAGAACCATTTTATCACCAATTTCAAAGTGCCGAGATCGTTATTTTCTCTTCACTTCGGCCTTTCACGTACTGTGTCTGAACTGATGGAGGTACTCGAGCTGAGGCGTCCATTGTGTCATTATGCGCAGAGAGTCTTCCAAGAAAGTGACCACAATGAGGAATCGACCGATAGCCGGGAGATGTCTATCATTATTTCGTAAGTTTAAACAGGTCGTATAAGTGCATCAACTATTTTCTTCATGACACACGGAAAACCAGAATGGACATACGGCTTGATTGGATCAGCAACAGTGTCTAGCCAGTCCTCAATCTTGCTGGTCTGCTCCCGGATGGCATCCAACGGACTCGGGTCGCTGGTAGCATGCTCCCTCCCAGGGCCGACGAAGGGATTCTGATGTCCCAGGTTGTACCCCGCCGTGCCGCGGATTTGGGCCATCTTTCTGAAGAGATTGGTATGGAGGTTAAAGAGGTATTTTAGGTGTGCGTGTGTCTAACGAGGGATGCTGGTAGGCAGGTACGGCTATGTAGCCTCGGAGGAATCGACGGCGGCGTGCAGTTGAGGTTGCCTGCTGGCTCGGGACTTCTGCTCCCCAGATAGTGTATATGTGTCCTCGCCGGGTGGGTTGTGGACAAGAAGCAGGACCCTTGTTCTCCTCGGCTGGTTAGCATTGGCCTGAACAATGACGGTGGGTTTCGAGTGGCGGACAAACAAACACTTTAAATCCCTCTAGTGGTGCGAGGGACGCTGTCTCACAACTCGAGGGCAGCCGGGCAGACGGTCAATTGGGGCCAGACGTCGCGGCGGAGGAGGTGAAGGTGAAGGCTGCGCAGGGGACGAACTCGAGGCTTGTCTGTTGTTTCTTGCAGGTGAAGAAGGTTGAAGGTTGAAAGTTGAAGAGAAAAAGCCACGGATGCGATAAGCAGTAAAGGTCACGTTTCGCCAAGTCACGGGACTTGCTGGCATCAAGACCGCTGGAGCAGCAGAAGCAGACGGGGATGTACTTTAGGAAGTATTGAGAAGAAGAAGAAGAAGAAGAAGAAGAAGAAGAAGAAGACGGCAGCAGGAGATGGAGAAGAGGAGATAAAGTAGAGGCAGATGATTCACTACTGAACTGTTACTAAGACATACAAGAAGCGAGGTGGCCCAGGGTAAAACGAGCTTCCCTGGCACAATCACCAGCATAGAGCGCGAAAGGGAAAAAAAAGGGGGTTAAAAAAAAGGTCTCAAGTAGTCTGGCTGATGCAGGACGAAGCCAAAATTAAGGAAAAGAAGAGCATCGGTATGCGAGTTGAGATGTGTGATAAGCACGGCGGCGGCTAGTTTGGGGAGAGTTGACTCGGGAGGAAAAAGCAAAAAGGGGGTTTAAGCAAAAAAGAAAAGAAGAAGCAGTAAAATCAATAAATAAATACAGTCGAAGCGAGAAGGAAAGGCGTTAGAAGGGATTGAAGCTGAAGAAGAGGCAGAGGCAGATAAAGAGAGGGGGAAAAAAAGGAAAAGGAGATGAAATTGGATGGGATTGAAAGAGGCTAGATGGATGATTTGATATCCACTGTTGAGAAGGACACGATGAACTAGCGGGTGAAAAAAAAAGGGGGGGGGGATGCGAGGAGAGAAGAGAGACCTATAATAATAAAATGTGGATGCTGGTAGAGAAGGACTTATGGAATGTGCTTAGTGTGGATGTATGGTAGGGATGTGCGGGTGGATGGATGGATGCGCGACGGGGGGGTGTTAAAATGGTGTTGAGAGGCTTCTCTCTCTCTATGCTGTTGTTTCATGATATGAGTTTTGTGAAGGAGAGAAAAGAAAGAAAGAAAGAAAGAAAGAAAGAAATAGTAATAGCAGTAGAAGTACGGAGTGCTTTGAAAAAGAAGGTCATGTCGTTAGTTACCACGAAGTCTCAATGGGGTTGGCATGGGCCTCAGAGCTGCTAGCTTCGCTCGTGGACTCGGCCATGCCCTTACTGCGCTTCTCCTTCTTGCGGTTGGAAACCGTAGTCCATTCGTTCTCGCTGCTGAGAGAGTTGAGCATTCTCATCTGCTCCTCTTCTGATGGCAGGTCCTTGGTCCACTGCTTCCTCTCCCCGCCAGCTTGTGTAGGAGTGGGTTGTGCGGGAGCTGGCTCGAAGGTGTCAAGCAATGGCATGGCAGATGACGGCTTGGTGGATGTACCGTTGCCGGTGGTGTTGCCATTGGTAGTAGGCGTAAGATTAGAGCTGGACGCCCATGCGTTTGCAGATGGAGGAGACACCGTTGACTTTGCCTGTTGCCTCTCGTATTCCCGGGCTGTATGCATCTGGTTCTCGACCATTGCACGCCTCGCCTTCTCTGCTTGCTTGACCATCTCGTTCTTCTCTTCGCGCTTACGGCGGGCCTGGCGTTGCTTCTTAGTCTCTACAGACTTGAAGTTGTTTTGCTGTTTCTTCTTCTTGCCCTGCTGGACGTCTTCCATATCACCAGTCAGGCGGAGGACGGATGCGGCGGGAGCCGGCTCCTCGAGCATGTCAGTGACATCACCGGCGGGCTTGACGCGGGGAGAATTGATTGGTGACATGTCGTCATCTGCATCTGCGCCGGTAGTGGAGGAAGCAGCAGTAGAGACGTGGTTAACGTGAGAGTCACCGTTAGTCTGTGGTTGTTGCTCCTGTTGCTGCGTCTCCTGCTGCGTAGCCTGTTTCTTTGGCTTCTTGCTGGTGCTGGGTTTAGGCTTAGCAGCTAGAGGGGTGCCGTTTCTTGCTTTGGAGAATTGTTTGGCAAATTCATAGTTGTCGTCCATGCCTCCATTGCTAGTCGATATCGACTCTTCGGCTTCGACAGCTCGCTGCTCCTTTTTGGTTTCCGGCACAGCGGCTGGTGCGTTGACACCATTGCTAGCCTCGCTGGAGTGATTTCTGCTGCTGTTGGTTTCCGGCTGGGGGCTCCTGCGCTGCTTGGTGCGTTGCTTTGCCTTCTCCTTCTTGCTCCCTGCCGGGCCACTCTCTTGCCTCTCGCTCGGCTTTAGAGAGGCAGGCCGTGACTTGGCCGTCGAGCCATTATTCTTGTAGTAGTAGCCCAATCCACCTGCGGTAAGGAGCAGGATGGCCCAGCTCATGTACGGGTTCATGATTGCGCCACAGATCGAATGTATATTATAGACAGTAACACCTTGAGCGTTGTTGCAGTTGATTGTCCCGAGGCGACTTGACGCAAACGCCGAGCGGTCAGGAGGAAGGGCGGACGAACGCCAGGCGGTTCAGGGGGTGTGCTGAGTGGTCGAGTCGAGCAGTCCGGCGGCAGCTAGACGAGCACGAGCAGGCTGGAGGAGGACCGGCAGACAGAGACGCTCAGGATGGAGTGGTAAGTGGTCGATGGATGGTCGGGTCGGGTCTTTAGAGGGGAGGATGCGAAGGTGGCTTGTTCTGCGAGCACAAGGTCAGACGGGGCGCACAGCAAGGATCACACCGGGCTGGGCTGCTCTTGGTACTCACCACGAAGACACTCATCTCTTTGCAAGCGGCGATGTCGTGGGTGCTATTCTGTGGCTCTTGTCTCTTCTCTCTCTCTCTCTCTCTTGCCGTGGGACGTCTGTTGGTGTAGGCTGCGTCGTGGTGGTGGTGGTGGTGGTGGTGGTGGTGGTTGTGCGGTGGTTGGCGGGCGATGTTTGGCGATGCGATCGATGATGGAAGAGGCGGACGAAGTTTGACCACAAGAAAAAAAAAGCTACCAGCAGCACAAGAGGCTAACGAAGACGGCGGCGCACCGCCAACCCAACGACACAGGCCCTCGACGGGGGAGAATAAAATGAGATGAAACAGACGGAAGAACGCGCGAGGCTCTAGACACGGTCCGCTTTGTCAAAGGTGAAACGATGAGGACGCAGGAACAGCGTCAGCCGCTTTAACTATATAACTATTAATTATATATGCGATCTCGAATAGAAAAAAGAGGCCAGGCTGGCCAGGTCTTCGGTCCCCTGGGTTACTGTTCAATATCGGCCTGCATAACTCCGTACTCCTTGGTCTTCTTGGGTGCTCTCCTCTCGCGCGGTTTTACGGAGTCCTCGGTCCTCGTTGCGTGGCCGAATCTCGCCGTCGTGGTACAGGGGAGATAACTACATAGCAGACGACACATTGACATCTACAGAGCACATCCATCAGTTATACTCCAGAAGGAAGATGCAAGTAATGGCTGTCTTGCGTGTTTGAAATGCGCGACAGGGGACGTTTCACCCTGAGGTCCAGCGGATGGCTCGTATCTGCCTTTCCGAAGGGAACAGGCGGTTCTCCTTTTTCCACCCCTTTATCGATCGAGGGTCAAAAGGAGCCAACTATTATTATTTATTTAACTGCTCTACGGAAGGTAACATAAAATAAACACTGACTAGTGCGTTCTACACGTGGTGTTTCCCCTTATCCTTGCTGCTGGTTTCGCTTAATAGCCGCTGATATTGATTCTAGGCCCAAGTTAACTAGTTAGTTAGCTACTCCCGTTACCTGCGTTGCTTGAAGGGAGGCATGACTGCAGGGCCGCGCCTTCAGCAACATCGAGCAAAGATGTCTAAGGATGCAAAACAGGAGACGCAGAAGAAGAGGGGGGAGGGAGAACATGGCAAGAGAGCGACTGTCCACCTACATGACATGAAGACGGCAAGATGTGGTATTCGGTCCAGAGCATAGTATGCTTGATGTACTGCATCGTCCAAGTGACGGCTTGGTCGATTCCTCTACGATACCTTGGTGTGCATACAACTCTCAGAGCGCCCATTACAGGCCGATCTGCGTCTGAAGAGACCATCACACACGGTGCTCCGCCCTTTCAGCCGCCAGGCATTACCGATAATGTGAGAAGCGCAGAGACCACTAGCTACAAGGATACAATGAACGGAGTCACCCTTGAGCGACTACTGGCAGATCTTGAGACGTGCGTTGAAGACCTTGTCCCTTACTCACCGGAAGTACCACCAAATGATATCGTTCAAATCAGTGGATCGAAGATGAGATCTTGCAGGCAGGCGATCTTCACCCTCATACGCTGGTACAGACAGTCAAACCCTTCTACCAGAAAGTCGTCAACAGAAATCCAAAACGAGCGTCGAGACGATCAAAAGTCTCGGTTTAATCTCGTCAAGCCCGGGGACAACACGGATCCCAGACAGACCGGAAGTCTTCAGACAACTGCCACAGGCAAAGTTCGACCGACTCAGACTTCTACTAGACCGTTGACCTGTCGTGAGCTCGCGTGCCCACCCGGTGATCTTGCTGCGACTTGTGTGACCAAGCCAGGCATCAAGCTGAAGCCCACACTGGCCCAGATGTGCAGGATGTGTTTTCCACGCAGAGACGAGAGGCTAATTGACGAGCACTGCGCTGATGAGTCCAAGAAGGAGTGGAACATCTTCTATATCCTCTTCGCTATACTGATCTCCATTTCCACTGCTGGATTCACCCTGGCTATAGTTCGCAGATTAAGGGAGAAAGCACAAACTTCGCAAAATACAGCGTCCGAGGTCCTGCCGACAAAGCGGTTTGTCGACTCGGGTTCAACCTCAACCAACACATCACCTGCTGAACCAATGTCTAGACGAGTTGTGTCATGGCTCAGGGGGGTGGTTACGTATGTCCGGGACTCGAGAGCACGAGTAGACGTAGAAGAGCACCCGGAACTTGGTGTGGCAGCCGCGAACTCACTGATTCCAACATTTGTGAACCAGGTCAATCCAAATCGCCCGCACCCCTTTCAAGTATCCGGCGCCGAAACCTGCGAGAGACAGACTGGACTGAAGCTCAGGAAGAGTTGTGATTCTAGCCTTGATGTGCCTGGTAAAGAGGGATCTCCACGGGCACGAAGCTCAAGTGTACAAGCTACTCCAGCTGCTGTGAACGAACCATAGCGTTTCAGCGTCGAGATGGATATTCACCGACCTCATACTGCACAGTAGACAAGGATAAAGCTGTGGATAGGAGGGAATATTATTAGATTCGTTTGTTTGTAGCCTGCTATTGATAGTTAAAGGGAACGGGGAAAAAATTGGGTTGCCACAGAAAATAGCATTGGCAGAGTTAACTAATCGTCTTTTTTTTTTTTTTTTTTTTTTTTTTTTTGGGTTCGTTTGCATGACATTTGAGACCTTTCATAGTGTAACCACGAAACAGTAGTAAAATGGGAATAGCCTCCTTGCATAACACCTGAGACAGTTCAATAGACAACAAAAAAGGGGGGGAAATCATCCATTCAGGCAGTTGACGAAGGGCAGACCGATAGCATCCTTGATTTCCTTCATTGCCTGCACAACCATCTCATCCTGCATCTTCTTACCAACTAGTTGAAGGCATACAGGAGCCGAGGCTTGAACCACAGGGTCATAGTTATCTTGATACAGAGCGTCGTCATCATTTCTAGGCGTATATCCTGTCTCCTTGGTGTCCAGTTGTGCATTGATCCTTGTAACTGGGAATACAATGGCTGGGTAATCGAGAATATTCCAGATCGAGGTATAACCCCAGTACCGAGATGTGGAGAGAACAGGCGCAACATTGGGGTGGGCGGGGCATAGGATCACGTCCATGTCAGGCTCGAGCTTGTTCCATTCTATATATTTGAGATGAGGTTAATAATAGGTTAGTTTGACATCAAGATATGCAGAGAAAGAGTAAGGATGAGATGTGGAATCAGATTCGGGATGTTCGGGTATGTAGGTATGTAGCTTATACTCAGACGTACCGGTCAAGTAATTGAAGCGGTATGCCTCACGTCTCTTCAATAGGTTCCATAGAGCAGGAAGGTCGTGGGATTTGACGGCAGGGCTCTCTTTCGCAACCCAGTTTGCAAGCTGGAGAGCAGATTCTCCACCCTCCTGGAGAAGGGCTTCGTATGATTTACCACCATCAGGAGAGTAGAGGCCTGCCTATAAGTCGGAGCAATCGAAATATGGTCAGTTCTCCGGATGAAAAGTCGGGATGTATGAGATCTGGATAGGCTACTTACGAGGATCTCCATTGCCTCATCGTGGTGGAATGGTTTCCATTCAACAACCTCGACACCGGGAACTAACTTGAGCTTCGCCACAACTTCATGCAGGGCTCTAGTTACCGGTGGGAGAGGTTTTACAATACCGTCGTCCCACATAACGCCGACCCTGAACTTCTTTTCTCCTTTCGGGTTAATACACTGGGCATGTTCTCGCCAATGCATCTGATGCAGGCTTGGATCTTTGCGCCAAGGCTCAGCGTCAAGGATAACTTTCATCATGAGGTTGATGCCTTCAAATGTTGGGCATAGTGGGCCGGCTGTTCCCCAGATTGTCTCCACGCCGATGTTGTAGGCAGTCCATCCGGTGAGAGGGATTCGGTGCGTGGTGGGTTTGAACCCGTATAGGCCGCAGTTTGATGCTGGCGAGCGGATACTGCCTCCTATAGATTGTATAGATGTGAGCGTTGGAGCCGAACTAACTAGTTATTGCCAAGGACGGAGCGGATTTCAGTCGTTCATAAGTAGAGACTTACCCATGTCCGTGCCAATGCCGAGTGGGCTGCCGTAAAGTGCCTGCAGAGCAGATTCACCACCAGACGAACCGCCAGGGGTCAGAGCAATGTTGTGGGGATTCACTGTCTCGCCGGTGACATTGCTTTTTGTCTCCAACATCAACTAAGTAATATCGGACGCAAGATTAGATCGTAGAAGTTGGCAAAAAAAAAAAATTACAATGTGATCGGGGTTCTATGGAATATGCACCCACCAGTGCTTGTGGTTCTGTTGTTCTCACGTATTCGACTGCTCCAGCTGCAATCAGAATCTTGAGAAGCTCGGCATCATCGGGAGACGGGCGTCCTGCCCAGGCAACAAAGCCGGAGCTGGTGTCGCATCCCTTGACGCCCATATGAGCCTTCACACTGACAGGAAGGCCATGGAGGGGGCCAATTGGTTTCTTGTGCTTTGCAAAATATTCGTCCAGTTCCTTCGCCCGTGCGAGTGCTCGCTCTGGCAGGAGTTCATGAACGCAGTTGACCTAGATGACATAAATCAGGATGGTTCTTGTTTGTTTTCCTTTATTTCTGCTACACTTCTGATTAACCGACTACTCCAACTCACCAGTTTCTGTGCAATGACCGCTCGGCGGAGAAAAGCCTTGGTAACTGCGGTTGCAGTGAGGGTTCCTTGTGCAAGAGAAGCGAGCAGCGACTGAGCGGATGATTCAGTAATGCCAATATCTTCCTGCGAGAGACACTGTCTTGGTATGTCTGTCACATTCCCGGACAACTTCTCTGGGATTCGGGATAGATCAACGTCCACCTTAGAGAGTGCTTCTTCGCGGCGAGCTTGGAAGCGTGCAAGACTTTCCTGTGCTTGCGTCATGCTTTCCGCCTTATTTATATAACGTTTTCAAATCGTTGCAGAGGACGTATTGCAGACGAAAAGGAAGATCGAGATAGAGTCTACCTCGATGACCGAATGAAATTATGCTCCGATGTCATACTCTCTAGCCACCAAGGCCAGAACTTATATACCGTCGGTACCGACAAGGCCACGTAGGATCCTACGTCTCACCCTGAGGTATTTTGGATGGTTCCGTGTCCGTTGTAACGCAAAGGGAGGGCAAGCAGCAGGCTAAAACCGATGGCTGCGTCCACAATTCGCTACAAGCAGAGGTCGGCAGTCTAGCTTGGATACCAAATACCGAATAGCATCCCAGGTTTATGGGGTTAAAAAATTGGAGTCGAGATAAGAAGATCGCCAAGCGCAAGGGTGATCCTCTGTAGGCGGACCAATCCGGCGTTGCTGCAGGTTGAAGGAAGCCAGCCAGGGATGTTTCGGGGATGCAGAGAACCGTCGCTACCCCAGTCAGGCCTATCCTTATGGACCCTTTTACTGCATACTTTGTAGTTATGCCAGAGTGTAGAGGGCCAAGGCGTGGGGCGCGGGTTCGCAAAGGACATCCGTTCCTGGCGCGGGAAGAGAGGAAGGTCCCGCCCCCTTGCGACCCACTAGAAAGGGTATGCTATCAGCCTGCCTGTGTATCAATATCCGTCCGCATGCCATGTAATAATATTACATAGGTACTGACCGGGTTCGGACTCTGGGCGAGAATCCATACTATGCATAGAGCTCGGTTAAGATTATGAGAGTTACCGAGCCCACCGCATGACTCGAGCGAGCCATCTGCCATACCAGACCCGCCAGAAGAGCCCCATCGTGGCCGCTGATGTCTCGTCGTCACTTTTTTTATTTTATTTTTGATAACGTTGCAGAAGTACAACGGACAGGGAAGAAGACTAAAGAGGCAACTGGCCAGCAAGTGGAGATTCACGTGATTACCTTAAGCCGACGTCCCGAAAGAATTCTAAAACTAACTACCTAGTTATATAAATTTTTAGTGAGAAGAGTGGAATTTGTATATCAACGTTCCAAAACAACAAAAGCCTTCCATCAAGGAGTAGCTGGTCTGCTTCTCGGAAGCTATGACAGGGAAGAAATAAGGAAGCGAAGGGCACAAACTAAAAATAAGGTCTGGAGTGAAGAAGAAAAGAACCAAAGGACAGCAAAAGAAAAAAAGAGAAGAACCAGAAAAAAGAAATCATCATGTCTCCATGGCATATCCACTATGATCTAAATTATACCCTCCTTCAGCTTTTTTGCAGCTCTGGGCCCTGCTCATCCTGCTCATGCTACCACTCGTGTCTGTCCCTTCATGCCACTCCCAAGCTCCTGTGGCGCTGTCTCCAAACAGAGCGGCGGCTGTACCGCTGGCACATAGTTGACTAGTGTACTGAGGTACTGCACTGAGAAATCCGACCATGCGTCAAGAAGGTCAGAACGGAATTTGCTGCCCTGGATAGACTTTCCAACATGAAGACGGATCAGGTCTCCCGACCTAGCCAACGTGCCCCGCGGCCCCGAAAGTTGAACAATTAGCTTTGAGAGGTCTTCTGGGTTTGGGCTAAATCGGAATCTGTCTGGGTAGAACCTAGAGGCTTCTACTACGCTAGAGTTTGAGATAACGGTAGTGACGCCGTTGAGAGCTGCCTCCAGCGGGGTGATGCCAAGAGTCTCGTAGCGGGATGGACAGATGAAGATGCCGGTGTGTCGTGCAACAGCGAATAGACTGTACAAGGCAGATCTTGAAACCTTGGGGACCAGCAGGAACAGGTGCTGGTACTGGGATGGAACCTTGTCCATGAGTGCCCTGTGCTCCATGCTATCTGGCTGCTCTCCCCCAGCCACAAAGACCCTGAGAGGGATACCCCGAGCGCAAAGGAGGATTGCCGCGTCAACAAGCAGATCTATATTTTTGAAGTAATCGAGGCGGGCAACTGCCGTGAACATCACTACCCCATCAAAGTTAAACCACTCCTTGATGTTTTCGGGGAGCTCGTCTTTGGTTTCTTCCGTTTCAGTCAAAAGCTCGATCGGCGGGCAAAGCTCACGTAAGGCGGTGACGCCCCTGGAGGCAAGGAAATTGCCTTGAAGCTGTGAATGTTGGAGGACAAATGCATTCTCTCGGCTCTTGATAATTTCAATTCCCTTGTCTTGTTGCCGTTCCAGGTGCTCTGCCTTTTCCATGCTTCCAAACGCCAGCGCTGCAGCCTCCTTGGAGAAAATGGTTGCAAAGCTTCCAAAAAAGGGGCCGTGGTGCGTGACACATGAAGGGATGTGACGAGGATGGTACTCCATCAGAGTATCGGTCTGATAGTATAGCATGGGGGTTCCTTCCATTGGGTTGGTAGCCTTGAGGATTTTGATGCAGTTCAGAAGGGCATTGGCGACCTTGCTTGGATCCATGTGGAAATTGAAAGATACTGTCACAGTAGAAACTGAGCTAAAGGCCTCGCTGGAGATGTAGGGATCCACGATATCCTCGTCCCTCTGATACAGAATCATTCCTAGGAAGATTCCTCTCTCCACGAATGCCTGGACAACCGAGGCAGCGAAAGCAGCTGCTCCGACCTTGGCAGCAGCGCTATTGCCGGTGATCAGGTATCGCCTGTTGAGAACAACTATTGCAGGAAGTAACGGTTTATAGTCTTCTGCCATGGCTGAAGACTGGATATCTGGGTCGGGGGTGGTAGAGTCAAGGATGAGAGGCATATTGAAAACGAAAAATATATATGGGATCACTCTATGCCAATATCCGGCTTGGTATGAATGTTCCAAGGATGGTGGTAATTATGATGATGATGATGGAGGGAATGACTCGCCTTTCTTTATGATGATGTCGAGCGGCATTTATATATCTTAGCCATGTATATGTGTCAGCGTATATGAGACGAACATCCCACGTAAAGAGTATACGGCAAAACTAGCCATCACCAATTCTCCCCGCCACTGATTCTATTTCACCGCCCGGCTATCCCAATCCTACCCCCATTCTGTTAGAGACGGCCGAAAACAAGCAGCTGGCGATCCTTAGAGCTGACCGGCAATCTCGGGGTATCGCTTCTTCTTGGAACTGTTAAAGTTGATGATGATGCGAAGCTTATCCATGGGATTACGACGAGGGGCATCCATAGATCAGCTCTCTTATCGTTGTCTGTCATTTTGTCATGCCGCCCGTCTTATCCATGTCAGAGGTAACAGGTATACATATGTATGTATCCTCTCGAGTTCTAGATTAAGGGACGTAAAAATAAAGTAAGGAATAGCGGGCAGATCATTGTGTCATCTGCATAACACTATTTTGAGACATTGATCAACCTGAGGATCTATTGATAGGCAAATGCAGCTCAAACAAGAGTCCCCCCTGAACTCAGCATTGCTCTATCCAAGAAAAGACACCGAAATTCGGACAAGATTTTTCGGATTTCCAGTAGGCGAGCAAGCTAAGCTTGGTCGTCCTCCTTGCCTTAGAGCCCACATTTCTGACTCAAGGACGGTAGTGCGCGGCGGATTTTCCAGACGACCCGCTGTGGATGCCGCTATGTATCCATCCACTACGTATAGGCCTGGAACCGTCAGCTCTTGTTTTAACGGACATTAAGTTTTATCTTCCTTCAAATTCTCATGCTCATCGGCTACATTCTAATAAAAGGATGCATGAAGTTAAGAAGCGAGAATATAAAAAGTCGATAGGTGTCGTCCCTTAAAATTAATAATATAGGCATTTTAAACCTCCGGATATCGGATATAAGATAGGATCAAGTCCGGTCCAGTAGGCTGAACCTTTTGATTAGATATTGTGTGCGTATGTATGTACGAAACTGTCTGCATAAGCAGATTAGCCAACCACAACACATCAAAGTGGTGTGCTCCAGCCGCTTCGTCAAAAACGTGCAACTTCGAACAAGCATTACGGCCCAGCGGAGATTCTGCTAGGCCCTCCATCCCAGATCCACCATCAGTATAACGGAACACTCCACGTCATATGGACTGGGGTAATGGATATGGATAATGCTGCACCATTATTTCGAAATGCATCATGCTGGTGAACACGTTGGACGGAAAGCCGCCCTTTTGGTTGGGGCTGCCAGGCTGAACTGCTGCAGAGGGGAAGCTTGATTCTGAAATTGCTAGGGCTAATCCTGTAAAATTGTGTTGACTTCCTCCCTAGAAAAGGATATGCAATGGAATGATCCACCAATCCAGGTCCCACTCAGCTGGCTTGAGAACTCGGCAATTGCCTGGTACATATGTCAGCATTTCAATGAGATCAGCAGAGGGAAATCAGGCAGGGGCAGTGGTATATTCTGCATAAGGGTAAATGGTTGCAATATTGACAAAACTGCCTGCGGTGCTGCGAGCTTGTGGCAAAGTTTGTCGAAAGTGCATTCACTCATCGTGTAATTTGACTTCCGGCCTGTCAGTTTAGGGTACCAAGGGTCAACCGAGTTATCACGTGATGATACCATGATGATTAATGCAGACTTTACTTATTTAAGTAAAGTATAGAAACTATAATTCCTCCAATCTTGCACTGACAAAATATCAAGCAGAATTTTCGGAATGCCAATTTACAGTCTTATAAGCATCAATACTGGTTGGTTGCTAGGGTATTGTACGGATGGTCCATTGTGAGATGGAGCTAGATGCTACTTTTCCTAGGGCGTTGCTTTATGTGGGTTTCCAATACTGCGATGACAGCTTCATGGATTTTATACCACTGCTAAGAATAATACCATTGAAGTCAAGGCAGTTCTTTTGAGCTGTAATAAAGTCAAGTATAGGGCGCTTAAACATGTGAATCTCAGCCTATGCTTGCTGTCCGCTCTGGATAGAGGACAGCCTGAACAGCTTTATGAATGGACTCTTAACGTTCAGCCCAACAGTACTCAAGGAACTATTATTTACTATACACATCGCTACAAATTATTAGTTGATTTTCCTTCCGAAGATTGGTGTTGAAGTCTGCCTATTTCCTTGAAGAGTCGTTGAACTTGGGCGGCTAGCCACGAAGTCAAAACAAAAGTGCCAAGCTTTTTCTCGGGATTATCTCCCGCCTTGGCAGGATCCATGGTGCTTTCCCGTTTGTATACGACGTTGATCAAGTCGCAACTTCTACAGCACAAACCTATGGAGGCGAATTTGAGCTGGTCTCTTCAGCCGGGGGAACAGCCGATCATGCACCGGGCACAATTATACCCAGAAGTGTTCAAGGAAAAGCGCTTGAGGTGGGAAGCGAGGTTGAAGAGGTTACAGCGACGAGCGCAAGATGAGACCACATGCGTATAACGGACCGAAAACCGGGCCGGGTGAAGCAGGGAATTCAAGAAGGGGTGCAGAGCCATATGCAGATCCACACGGTCATGCTTCGCCTGCAGTGAGGCGACTTCAGCGTGTACTGCGTTTATCACGCCCGTATATCCTAGCGGCAGAACAGGCAGAACGAGCTGACCCAGACGAACCGAACGATGAGGCGGCCCAACGAGAGCAAGCTGAACGAGCGCTAGCTGAACAAGAGACAGCTGAACAAGGGCTAGTGGAACAAGTGCAAGCAGTGCAAACGGGTCAAGATGGACAGCAAGTTGACCAAGCAATGCAACAACTGGTTGAAGAGAGGCATGCCATCAGCCCGGAAGAAGAGCAAGAAACAGCTGTAACGGCAGAGGAAGGACAGGCTGAACAGCCCGAGACACAGCCTACTGCACCACAGGTTAAGGATGAAGCAAGAGAACCGGATCAAGCAGGCCGATCGAGACGAGGGCAAGGAAGAAGGCGAGGGCGCGGCCGAAGGGCAGCACCTGGATCCGGATCCGGACGTGGGCAAGCTACAGAGCAGCGCCCGGAAGTAATTCGGACACGAGAGAGAGGAGTAGGGCGAGGTCGAGCTGCTGAACAACGACCTGAAGCTAATAGAGCCCGAGGAACGGGGCGACGGCGCCCACGAGGACGAGAACGAGGACAGGGGCAGGGGCAAGGTGCAATCCCAGAGCTAGAGCAAAGGCTGGAACAACAGCCATTGGGAGAGCTGAATTCTGAGCCGTTGCTGGTACAACCTGTTGTCAATCCGGAACCCCAATTCGAAGCCCGGGTTGAGACAGAAGCACAGGTCGAGATAGAAGCACGGGTAGTTACACCCGGACAGCCTCAGGCACGAGTTGGTGAACAGTTGGTACGTGAGCAGGTGATTCAACAGGAGCTCACGGACATCCTGGCACAACAAGAGAGTCAACCAGAATTGCCACCTGTACCGGCGCCTGTACCCGCACCGGCGGAGACAATACCGCCCCAGCTAATGCATCTACGACACCTACCGGCTCCCGAGGTACGGCCCCATATGGCACACTCCCAGAGGGTACAAGCACTACTTCAGGAGCAGCAACAAGACCTTCTCCGCCAGCAACATGCGCGGCAAGCAAGGGAGGAAGAGCTGGCTCAATGGCCAGAGATTGCGAGTCATCGGGAAAGTTTGCAACGGGTGCAGGTGACTTTGCGTACGAGGGAGCTGCAGATGATAGGTGAGGCTCGAGAGGGACAGCCGGAACCGGAGATTCGAAGGGTGGAGTTGGCAGTGCATCAGGGCCAGGTCCGAGAAGTAGAGGAGTTGCAGGAACAGATGCAATCAATGCAAGCACAGCAGCAACAGTTGCTTGAGATGAGATTACAGGAGGCGATGAACGAACCGCTTGAGGATCCGCAGCAACGACAACACCAAGAAGAAGATGCCGGACAGCCTAATTTTCGGGAGACGTCTGTTGAAGGACAACAACAGCTGCAACCACAGCTTCCGGAGTCGAATAGAATAGAGTCTATACCGCAACCGATATACGATGGTATGCAGCCTAATGGGATGGCGTTTCCGAGAACTGAGTTTGCGAGAAGGTCGGTGTCACTGCTAGTTATACCACTGGATGTACGGCAAGAATTAATTCAAGCTAGCCCTGAAGACGAGGATGGTGAATATGATGGCGGTGTTGCACTTGGACAGGAGAATATGGACTGGAATGGCAACGACAATCGCTATGGAAATGGCGACGGCAATGGCAATGGCTATGTGAATGGCAACACCAATGGCTATGTGAATGGCAACGGCAATGATTATGGGAATGGTTATGGCAATGGCTACAGCAACGGCTATGTGAATGGAAATGCAAACGGGGATGCGAATGGGAGCGAAGAGATGAGTGAGACCGAGGTTAGGTTTGCAATTGAAGAAGCGGTACAGCTGCGGACGTGGGCGCAGCTCGAGGAGATCCAACAAGACCACACGAGAAGAGAATTCCAGGGTAGCAACGGTATGGATGCCGCAGCCGCATCCAGACTACTAAGTCGGTGGTCGGGCCGACGCGTCTACCCGACGACTCAGTTTCCAGCCGTGCCAGAGTACCATCCGCACTATCGAAACGAGGGCTTCTACCCCGTGAGCCGAGGGGTATCGGAGGCTCTCTCGGACGTGCGAGCGGCACGTATGGAGGAAGGCGAGCACATCGTCGACGAGGAGGAGTTCGAGTACTTCAATTTGGGCTCGGGCCGGAGCGAGCAACTGGTGCATGACGGGCCAGCTGGGGACCAGGATGAGTTGACAGAAGACAACCTGCAGGTTGGGATGGTGCTTATAGCGCAGACCACGCCGGCGGAGTATGAGCACTGGAAGACCCGTCGGGATACCCAGGCTACTTGGGCGGAGGTGAAGCTTGGAGAGGAGATGGCTAGGCTGAGGGTCCGGATGGAGAGGTGGGAGGCGACGGTGAGGTGGATGTGGCAGATGGCGGAGGTGTGGGAGCGAGACGGCGGGTTTGAGAAAATAGTTGAGTTTGATGCTGATGTTTTGGAAGCGATGAGATTGGATGGGGAGGTGAGTGATGACGACGAGCTAGTTGGGTTCATGGACGATTTGGATGTGAGTGTTACTACGACGGACTATGATGCTGTATATTGTTAAGTGCTTGGTCTAGGGAACTAGATACAGGAAGACAAAGCAAGAAGTGAAAGCAGAGAGCCAACTTTTATACGCCAACGTAAAGAGTAACGGGTAACCACACGTAGGAAGTAACAAGAAGAGGAAGTAACAAGAAGAGGAAGTAACAAGAAGAGGAAGTAACAAGAAGAGGAAGTAACAAGAAGAGGAAGTAACAAGAAGAGGAAGAAGAGGAAGAGGAAGAAGAAAAAGAAGAAGGAGAAGGAAGAGGAAGACTGGATTAATGGGTGAGGATTAATGGGTGAGCAGGTCATGTACGCTCATGCCAAGCTTACGCCTGACGTGTGTATGTGTATGTGTATGTGTGAGTGTGTGCTGTGCATGTGCATGAGGCCATATAGTGGGCGAGGTAGTTGCTGAAGCGGTGGTGGCTGAAGTCGAGGAATGCCGTCTATCGGTGTTGAGCATGAGCAGAGCAGCAGAAGCCTCTCTGTCCATGTCAACGTCGTCGTCCTGCACGGCAACGTCGTCCCCACCGGTGGGTACAAGCAGCGGTGAGGTGTTGGTAGAGGTTGCTGTGGTGGACATGCTGTAAGTCCGCGAGGCAGAGGAGGCAGTAGTTGACGTGGTAGTAGGCCTGAGAGCAGGCGAAGGCAGGACCATGGGTATGATGTCGAATCCTGCCGAGGCGGTCTGGTGGCCCTGGCTCTGCGCCGGAGAAGGCATGGTGGAGGTGTTGGCGGTTGAAGGGTGGATATCCGGGGAGACGGAGTATGAGCTGGCCGAGTCCATCTGGATGTTTGCCGAGGGCTGCCAGCAAGGCGAGGTGGGAGTGTCATCTCGCCTGGCCGCCTTGAGGTCTCTGACGCAGCTCTCCAGGTAGTTTACATACTCGATGCTGGCCTGGAGTTATTATTATCTGTTAGCCGCTGTCGTATATCTGAGACTGATAAGAGAGAGGACTGACTGACCTGGAGGATGGCGAGCTTGTGCATCTCATGGCCCCTGCAGGCGGGAATCATGTCCTTGAGCGTGGCAAACTCCTGGTTCATCTTGGACCGGCGGCGACGCTCGATCAGGCTGTGAGCGGTGCGCCGGGCGATCTTGCGGCCTGCGGCAGTGGCAGCGCTGGACTTCTTCTTGGTGGTGGCAGCCGGGGCGGCATCCTGCTGGTCGGCCTCCTCGTCTCGCTTGGGCTTGACCTGGATGATCTTGCGGGTGCGCGTGGGCGGCGGTGGCAGGCTGAACTCGGGCTGTCTCTTGGAGCGTCTTGTCTCTGGCTGTTGCTGTTGCTGTTGCTGTTGTTGCTGTTGCTGTTGTTGCTGTTGTTGCTGCTGCTGCTGCTGGGGCTGGTGGTGGTGGTGATGCTGGATGGCGGCGGGCGGGAGGGCGAAGTAGAGGTCGTCTGCGGCCTTGTCCATCTTGTCCATGGCGGCGATGTCGGTCGACGAGGCCGGAGTTAGCGGTAGACGCGGCTTCGGCATGGCAGGAACTAGTAGATGCCGGCAGCGATGACAGTGGTGATAGTAGTAGTGATAGTAGCAGTAGTAGTAGTGGTGTTGGCGATGGTGACAGCGGTGGTGACAGCAGCGCTGGCGAGGAGGAAGAGTCGGGTCGACGAAAAGAGGGCAGGCGGCGCTTCTTCTACCTGCGCCGCGAGTCCTCCTGGTGGTCGCGTGCTGCCAACGGTTGGCTGGCAGGACGCCTGGGGCAGGGCCAGGCACATGGACGCGGGGAGGACGCTGATTGGCTGCGGGGCGGGCGCAGGGGAGGAGGCTAAGGTTGCCGTGGCTGAGTCAGCGGGGAAGAGGGCCGGGGTGGAGGTGGGCACGTGGGCTGCTTAGTCATGAGAAGAGGCCGGGCGGGAGGAGACGGAAGGGCGGGCGAAGCCGGAAGAGACGCAGGCAGACGGCAGGAAGACAGAAGGGAGATGAAGATGGATGGTGCTTCCTGCGCTCGGTCATCTGCCGCGCGTCTATATCCCCCTTTCTACTGGCTAAAGACCCGCCGGAGGAGCTCCTCGCTTAGTAAGCTGTCGGGCCCGCGCTCCAGCACGCCCACGCGGTTGCCGCCCGCCCTCCACCCGCCGCGGTCGTCCTCCTGCTCCTCCGCCACGACTGCGATCTCCTCCTCGCCCTCCACCACCACCTGGTCCACCACGTCGGCGTCAACCCGCCCGACAAGCCGCCTGTCCACCACCGTCGCGCCTCGCGTCCACTGGCCCGTCGTCTCTACCCGCACGTCTCGCTCCTGCCACCGCCATGTCTCGCTCCCGCCCGTCAGCACGTACCACACGCACACGGGGTCGTGCAGGCTCATCTCCTCTTCCGCCGTCGCCGCCTCGTGCCGGGCCAGCTTGAGCTCCCGGATCGTGCTGAAGGTGTGCTCGACCACGGTGGAGACCAGCTCGGCCAGCGGAGAGCTGCGCTGCAGGTGCGGCGTGATGGCGGCGCGGAAGGCCGTCGGAGTGAAGTTCTGCGTGTGCGTCAGGTCCAGCGGTGCCATCTTCAGAGTAAGTCTCTTGTCTGGACGTCGTGGAGCGGCCATTGGCGAGGCTGCGGGCCAGGTGCGCCGTGGGTTAAGCGATGTCAGCGCCATCAGCTGCGCGGCTGCCAGGGGGTCTGCGAAGACGTTGAACTCCGCAAAGGGGGTGACCTTTATTATACTCGCTGTCAGTACTCCATACTCTAGTAAAAAAAATATATAACTAGTAAATGGGAGGAAACATACATTTCCTGGCTCGTCGATGGCTCCGCCCATGATGACTACCTCCTTGGCTCGCAGGAAGGTAGGCAGGTCCTCGGCCGCGGCTAGGGCAAGGTTCGTCAGCGGCCCCACGGCCACAATGGTAATGCTGTCTTCCTCATTCTCGCGCAGCAGGCGGAGGATCTCCAGATGAGACGGCTGGCGAGACGGTATATAGAGCTTCTCGCCTTCGTCTGCGGCCGCTTCTTCACTCGCAAACAGGGCCTGGTAGGTGTCGTCGGCGGAGAGATGGGGGCACTAGAAAAA